ATTGTAAGTGTACTCTTGTCAATCTGTCAAGGACAAGAACTCGATGAAAGCTAAAGAGTAAGTGAGACTCTTCTCAAAAAGAAATAGGACAAAATAGAAATATGTATATTAAGAAAGAAACTGGAATGGCTATTGCCAAAATACAAGAAAACTAGAGACCCTTGAAACTAGACTAGAAGCAAGAAAGGAGTTGACAAGAGTGAAGAAGCCTTCAGTCTTGTCTCTATATATACTATCTAACTAGGGGCTACGTGGCGACGTTCTATAGGACCTCCAATATGTGTTGACTTTGTAGGACACATGCCTTGACTTACAAGGCAAGTTTTTCTACGTGTGGGCCACATAGTTAGCTTGATCTTCAAGCTAACAACATGTGTGGCACATGGCCAACTTGTTGACCACGTTTCTAATCCAAAAAGTCAATTAAAGACACCTATGAAGTCAAAGCAGCGTCTAGGAAGTTTCTAGGAAGCTTCTATATTAAATATTATACAATTAACTTACTTTTATCTACTTTTACTTACTTCTACCTATTTCTATATGTAATTATTAGCTTACATGATTATGGCCGTGACAAAGATCTTATTATTGAGGTTTGTTTGGAAGAACTCCAAGAGATGGGCATGCATCCTTAGAAGAATAGATATACTAATATAGATATGCAATCATTAGGATTGTGTACAAAATTTGCATCTAAGAAGCTCAAAAGAAAATTTTCCTCCTAAACTTTGTAAGAGATGATATCAATGTATATAGTGCAAAATTTTGCATGTAATTTGGAGATGGAATTATTGTGGAATATTTATATAATGATTGCAAATATCAACTACAAAGGCCTAGTTTAAGCAAGTTTTGGTTAACCAATATAGGTGACTTATCAAAGCTTGATAGAGTTGCATATTACAATATAGTGTGTCGATGTCACAATGTAGTTTGACTTCTTCATTTGAAGGTATGTATGATGGATTTGATACTTTTATGTTGGATTTTATGAGAAGTTAGTGAGCATACTTGGTCTAATGGATAATAAAGCCATAGTCAATATATGTATATTTGACTCCAAAGAAATGACATATGGCCCTAAGATGAGTTATGGCAAACTTATTATAAAGTTTTTATTTCAACTTAAAAATAAGGCCTAGACAGCTTCTTGTAATTTTAGTATCACCAATACAAAGTAATAAAATTATTAAGTCATAAGAATCATATATGAAATCATTGAAATTAGCATGGGATTGAGACATATCCTGACTCTACAAATAATTGTCTATTCAAGAGTACCACATAAGAAGATTTTATTTGAAGCTATATAAGGCTTGATATAATTGATAAATAAGCTATTCTTAACCTAATACAAAAAAAATCGGAAAGTTACTATAGGTATACTTCTTCTTTGAGGAGGCAATTTAAGAATATTATTAGGACATCCATTTGGTAAGTATGCTATTGATCATAGATAACCAAGACTACAAGCATGTAGAATTTTTCTAAATAAAAAATTAGATAAAATATTTTTTGGTAATTGATATCTTATTGTTGTTGGAAACCTTGAGTTACAAGGCATTTTTTATATAGTATGGAAGTACTATCAATACCAAGTTTGATTTAAAAAATCTAACAAGCAATGATTGCATATTTGTTAGAGAGTAATGAAACTAAAAACCAAGTTTTGTTTTCATAAATCAACTAAAGTTCAAACTCCATGGCATGTTGTTAATAAAGGTTTTGAGCTGCTTGTATAAAAAAAATGTTCTTGCTTCCATTTATTATGCTAAGAAGTATTTTGGCATAAGCAAAGAAATTATGTAGATGAACTAGTTGTCTCTTGTTACTACAAGGTTATTAGGAAAGTTTTGAAATGTCCATTGTGGAGTAATTCGGTGGCAAGTTGTAATCAATTACTAGTAATGTGTTTGGTTTATCAAAGTATCATTGATATATAATAAGTGTAGACAAGAAAAATGGCAATGGGACTAATAAAGATGTATAGATGTTATGGAAGAAGAGGAGGAGGAGAGATAGAAGGGACTTGTAGGTGGTTGGATTAAAGGCTATTCAAATTTCAAGAGAACCAATGGAAGGCTTGGTAGATGGTGTGTATCCAATGACACTGAAATTGTAAATATGACTACAGTAGAGGCATCAACAGCCAAAATTATCAATAGCAATCCTTCCATAAGGAAAAGAGATGCTAAGGTTGTAGTTGCTAAGGGGCAACTTTGGTCTTTGATGATCTAATGTACATTGCATTTGTCTTACAAATATACTCTTATTTGTTACCAATTGAAATTTCTTTTGTTTCTAATTAATGTGCTTCATTGTCATTTGGCATTTTTGAATCAATTAATGTTTCTAGTCTTTAGTCCAATCAATATGAGTTTTTATTTTACACTTTCACCACAAAAGTTGCAACAATCAAGTCTCAGATTATCAAGCCTCCAAGCCTTTTGACTGTAGTTAGTACTAAGAGGTATTTCATGCCTTGTTGTGCTTTTTTGTACTTTTAGTCCATCACCTGTGTGATCTGGCTCACCAAGATTCATCGACACTACAATTATTAGAAATTTGGATTCCATATCCTCATAACAAGGAAGCTTGTCACCATTGAATGCCATTCTTTTTAAAATTTGTACTTCCGTAAGAGACTTTTGACCGTGGCCCAAACAACAATGTCCTTAGGCAGATCTATATTGACTTCTTCTTGCAGGTCGACTACCTCTTTTACATCAATCAAGAAATTATCCATGCTATTGCTATCAGTTTTTTGCATCATGAAGAACTTCTCAATTAGCATGTATCCCCAAGGTCCATTATACGCTTCATACCTTTGCTTGATTTTTGTCCGACACAAGTGCACTTATTTATATTCCTTCATAAGACATAGTGTCGCATTTTTTGCATTGTTGTTGATTGCAGTGAGTGCGCTTGATTGCCTGAGTTGCTTCGCAGTTGACATAACTGATGACAGTGGAGTTATACAGTATTGGTAAAGTTCATCGCGATGCAAGACATTCTTTATCATGTACGTCCAAATCCAATGGTTGTTGGGCCTTTTTAGGTGATATTGTTCAAAGATTGTGCACTCTTGAGATTGATACAATCGTTGAACTGCAACTGGGTTTGAAAACGAATGTTAGACTCTGATGCCGGAGCTAATCTTTGTCTGATTGGTAGGTTCCGTGACTGCGTATGCGTGCTTCACCATCATGGCCTAATCTATTCTATCAACTCAGATTTGATGGAATAAGTAAGGTGGCAAACTGAAGATGATATGATCCAGAGGTATATTGTTAAAAAGAAGTTCTTGTATCTACAATATGTTTTGAGTGGGTGAAGAGAAAAGAAGAAGAATAAAGCTTCGATAAGAGAATGTCACATCTTTCCTAACGGCCCTAGGAAGTTTGCTCTGTTCCCATATTGAATATGATCTAATCTACATAGTGCCACTGCGGGAAGCGTAACAGCACAAAGAAAAAAACTTATTGCCTCGAGTTGAGTACTGATCAGGAGAATGTTTTAAAGAAACTAATCCAACAAGAGAATGTTTTTAACAAACAAAACGAACAGACTACAGAGGAGTGGATGAGAAGAGTAGGGGTAGACAGATGTTCCAACATATGCCAGTTTCCACTTCTCTTTTGATGCCCATGTCCGAGATGTAATCGCATCCTAGAACGCTCAGAGCAGCTCATAGAGTCGCCGGAGATGTCCAAATAGTCTCAATTGTACACAGGCATGTCGCCACGCGATGTGCATCTTGAGAAGACCAGGCGCCAACCTCGATGGATCTATGTTGGAATGGGCCAGCAAGAACTTTTAGTCAGGTGGAATTTTCGCAGCAAAATCTGTCTCAGGCATGCGCTGCCTCCTATTCGTGCGTGCGATTACGGGTGCATGGAATCACATTCCAAATCCCACCCACCAGCGGGTCCCCCCGAGTCAATCCCACGGCTGTCACGCTCCTCACAGGTTCTCGTTTCCATCAATTCGTGAGCAACATGATACGAATACAATCCTCGTGCATGCAGCAGACTGCGGCACAAACCTTGACTCTTGGGCACGACGCTTCATGTCTAAGATATGCACCAAACTCGATCCAGTCGACCTAGAACCGCGACTCACTCCCACCAAGCTCTGCTTGAGTTTAGGTGGCAGCTGTGATCGAAGCATAAATCATCAAGAAACAGGATGAGTCCGGAAGGAGAGTTCAAAAGCTTGAATATCACTGGTATTCTGTGCACGGTGGTGCCGACTGCTAGGGACGAGATCTTGCAACACAGCGCCGATGATTGGGTTAGTATCAAATAGCAATGACCTCTCAGAACATGACAGTGAAGGCACATGAGGACAGCGAGTTGTGTTCTCAAACTGTGAGTCAGCAGAGCACCAGAGCCTAGTGTCAGTTCAGTTTGGTTGCGAAAATTTGCGGAGCCTCGGCGAGTTGAGCAGAACAGCTGGGTGCGTGAGAGTGATGCATATCCAACTCCATTCCAGTTCAGGATGGTTTAGTTGCGCATTCCGCTACTTCACTCAGTTCTGATATGCTACGAACTTTGTACACTTCGCATCCATGTCGAGGCAGAATCGTTGCAATTCCGATCCATACGGTCCATAAAAATCAGAACTAAGTTTCGAAAAGAACAGAGTTATGAATAAGAATATGTGGAAAAAAACTGCATTAACGATGGAAGAAAGACCTCAAAAGCAGAAAAACCAGTGTTAAGAGTTGGACAAATTTTGTCATATGTGATGTTCTATGTTTCTTTGTTTACCTTATACCAACTGTTTATATTTTTTTCCTTTTGGTGTTGTTCTGTTGATTATTGCACTGTCAATGCGTACATATGGCAGAGAGACGAACAATTGCAACTTGAAAATGATGAAAAAGTCATGAACAAAAAACACAACATCAATACGGAAGGGACGTACTGTGCCTCAACAAAAGTATTTAAGTAGATGGAAAATTAAAACAATAACTTTAAAACCTTCAAACCAAGACGAAGAAGAAGAAATAAATAAAAATTAAAAAATTAAAAAAAAAGAGAGAAAAAGAAACAGTATAAAGTTTCTGTGGTGCGATACAATTTAGCGAAAACCCCAACCAGCCCTGTTATTCTCCAAATTACAAGCCATAGGCTGGTTGTCTCTAAAAGTTCTTCACATTGGATGCTACGCAGCAATGATAGTAGAGGATTATTCAACTATACGTAAAATTTGCTGCAATCAGGCTTTCTCAAAGCGCTGAGCCACATCCGTCCAGTTTACAACCTTCCAGATGTTCTTCAGATAGTCGGGCCTCACGTTCTTGTACTACTTGCCAACAATTAAAAATTCCAGATTTTAGAACTTTCTTAGAAACACTTGTGAAGTAACCAAATACAACATGTGAGCAGATGGTTATTCCACATTTCACACGATGACAGCAAGCATGGAGCTAAAATTCATTGAAGATGTGCAATCACACAGGGAGAAGATTTTACCTGCAAGTAGTAGGCATGTTCCCAGACATCAATTCCAAGTAAGGGAACGAGGCCCTTTGACGACAAGGCATCCTGAGCGGTTCCAAACGATGTTCATGTTATCCATCAATCATGTGAAGCTAACAGATCCAGTTAAAAAGAATCTCAACAAGGAACAATGAGTCTACAAGCCTCCTACTTTTCCATATATCTGAAGCTCTGGCAAAACCCAGCATGCTGAATATCAAGAAAAGAAATAAATCAAATGAATCAACGCTAGAATCCGTACTTGATCATCCAATTAAGCATTAAAACCCTCACAAACCTGGTTCATGGTTGTCTGCACTTCAAGTCTCTTCAAATCCTTGTTCAAACCCAGCCACTGCTCACAAAGATACAAGATTATAACACCCAGCTCCAGATAATTATTAGAACTGAGTTGAGTGAAAGAAAAAGTCGTTCAATTGCAGAATAGCTGAAAACCATAATCTCAAAAATTAATTAAGAGAAGATTTGGTTTAAATTAGCTACAAATATTTTTTAGATACTGGTGGTCGGCACGTGAAGTAACGCTGGTGATCCCTAAAATATGCCAATTCGTTTGCCTTTCACAGACACCTCTACCTTACACAAAAAATTAAATTCCGAGACCCTAGCACCTAGAGATGAGAACTCGCATACGCATCCACTCACTACCCTCCTCGCCTGCTATCGAGGACAATCATGGAGAAGTCAGACGCGTTGTGCAAAGGATAGGAGCGGCATGGGGGGGCAAATATCTATGTATGTGCGGATGAGTCTTATAACTGTAAACGAGGGCTAACATAGACTGAAAGAAGGTCGCATATTCGAATATGCATGTTGCGAGGTAAATAGGTCATTATAGATCGTACCACCCAGCCGGATCCCTGCACACCAGCGCCCGCAGCATTCATCTTTGCAATCAATTTGTCCAGGTCCCCAAACTGTGCATCAATGGCCTTAGAAAGGCTTCCCTGAGGGGGTGCACCTCCTCCTTCCTGCAAAAGCCATTGATATTGAGAAGAGCAAAATTGTGATCAGAAATGAATTCAGGGAATTCTGTTCTAAATGTCCTCACTAGAATCGTTCTTATCACAGCCCAGGACATGTGATCTCCAAAGAGACGTTCTGTGCGCAAAACTCCAGAATGAGAAAGTTGTCAGATGAGTCTAACTGGACATCCGCATAACCAAATCGCAAAGCATAAACCTCCCCAATAACAAACAACCCAGAGCATGTAGGGTTTCATGGTAACAATTAGGGCAATATTCTCCTAACTAAAAGACCTCTGAACCCAACATGCATCACCCAGATTAAAACCTAAGTGCGCGAGCTTACACTGATGGGTGCAAGATTCTTCCAAAAGATTGAGTGATTAACATGCCCTGCAGCACAAACCCCCCCAAAAAAACAAAAAAAGAAACATAAACCCACGCAAGCCGATTCCCCTCCAAAATCAGAGAAAAAAAAAAAAAAAAAAAAAAAAAAAAAGGAAAAAATAAATACACAAACCTAAACTCCAGGTTCTAACCACGTACCTCCGCCATTGAAATTGATAGCGGACTGCAGGGCAACAATGGTCTGTGGATCATTGGAGGAGTGCATCTGCTCCAAAGCCTTGTTGAAATTGGTAACGTAGGTCTGGTGGTGCTTCTGGTGGTGAAGCTTCATGATCTCCCCGCTGATAGCTGGCTCCAGCGCCCCGTAGTCGTAGTCGAGATCCGGCAAGCTCTCAGTGTGCAGCGTGGCAGTTGCCATGGCTCTCCTCTGCGCCGATAACCGGGTGGAGGTGAGCAACGATCGGCGCCCAGTTTGCATGAGTGCTGCTGCCATGGCGATGGAGTGATGTGGTGTAAGAATGTGCAGAATCGCAATGCCTCAACCTCCAACTCCCTGCAATGCAATGCAACCAAACCAAACGCAACGCAACGCGGCCTCAGAAAACACATCGCAAGGGGTTGTGCCAAGTTAGCTTGTGGAAGGAGCCCCCCAACACCGACCCCCACCCTGGCCCATGAGCGTGCTTGCATGGAGGTAGAGGGGGTCAAATAGCGACCACGTGTCCATGTGCTGACAGTTCAGATGGCTGTTGGATCCATCCATTGGGAATAAGATTTTGTTCAAAACCCATCAAATAGTTGGTCTTGATTGAGGTTTTCTCTCTAAAATGATTCATAAAATCAAATTAAAAAAGTCTGCAATTAGCATTGGTTGTGGACTAGGTTGTGCACTGGATTGGTGTAATCATAGTATATTTTTTTATTTTAAGCAATGTATTGATTTCTAATATTACATAGGATAATTAGTTGACTTAATTTTTGGCATTAAATAAAAATTGGTTTCAGTTTTGTAAAGGGAAAAGTAAATGCAGTGTTTCTCATGATTGAAGTGAGTTCCATAGTTCCCATGGTTTGAAATTCAGTTCTAGTTCAACAACTTTTCTATCAAACCTTAAATGAAATAAAATTCATGTAATTTATACACTTTAGAAACAAATAAGTTTGGGGTAATGATAATCATCCATTTTTATAGCAAATATGCTACAACCAGATAAGCTTTGCTATTTTATACGAAAATGCACAAAATATAATAAAATTTTACATTTTAAGTAAATGTTTAAAAACTGTATTCCAATTTTATAATTGTATCACAATGTTTTTGTTAAAATGATTTTTTAATTTATGTTCGTTCAGTAAGACATTATTAGATGATTGTTCATTGGTTTTGTAGATGAGTTAATTTTTGTTTTTAAGTATTATGAGAAAAACATATATTTATGTAATTAAGAATAAGAAAATTTTGTAGATTTATGGTAGAGAATAAAATATAAGTCTTTTCAATTACAATAGATTTTAAATCACTACTTAAAATTATGATAAATTTATAATAATAATTAGATTCAAAATACATAAAAATATATAATATATGCTAATTTTATTATTTTTGATGATATTTTATTTTAAAAATTTATATTATATATATACATTGTTAAATTGACTTAGGTATTTACAAAGTCAATCCACCTATCCTAACCATCATCAAAAAAATCTCTATTATTGAATCCGTATTGGTTGAAAACTAATGAAAAATAGTTGGATCTACAGCCAATGATGATAGGTGAAATGATTTAGTAAATTTATATGTCAATTTAACAATTTCCTATGTTTATACACACACATATACATATATTGTAATATTTACAAATTATATAATATATCTTGAATTTATGTAATATCACATTTTGAATTTTAAAAATTATTATTATTATTATTTGTTTACTTTAGACCTTCATGCTCTGCTTTAGAAGTAACATATTATAAATAGGTATGAAGTTGAAATAAATAGATATATGGCTCTTTAGATAAATATACACCATTATTTTTAATGTATAAATCAAAATGATTTAAAAAATATTTAATCTATTTTTAAATTTTAATATTTAAATTTTTTTTATTTGGTTCATCTTAATAAACCTTTGTAGACTATATGTTGTAATGCAAAATCAATTTTCTATCAAAGCATGAGTTCATTATTTCTTCATTGCTAATTACAACTTTATTTTAAAACTTTGTTGTTAAACTCTATAACTTCTTCAACTTCAACTCTTTTGTAAAACTTAATCAATTGATTAATAACTTAATGCATAATACCATATTTATAGACAACAAACAACCTTGTTCTTTTTTTATAAAATTCAATATCTAATTAATATTTCTTCAATTATATACAAAAATGACTAGGAACTCAATCATAAGAAACTCCAATATCAACAAAAAAAGACAAAATATCACACATTTTTAAAATATTAAACATTTCTATGCTTCGTGTGGAAGACAATTCTAACCTGGGTGCACTTTTCAAAACCTAATAGAAAAGTTTGCTTTTTAAACCCATTTGGAGCTAAAATAAATATATAACATTTATAATGAATTTATAAAAACTATTGATCGAGCTATTTTTAAATTGCAAAAAAAAAAAAAAAAAAAAAAAAAAAAAAAAATCTCATTGTTTCTAATTAATTTTATCTAAATCAGAAATAAATAGTATTAAATTTTTTATTTTAGTGATTTCTGGATTTTGAGAAATTTCTACACTCACATATTTACAAAATGATTTTTGTTAGTATTTTAAAAAAAACGACAAGACTGAATAATTACATTATTTAAAACCTTTAATCTTACATAATAGCGACTTTAAATCATAAATATTAATTTTAATTATATCAAAATAATATATAGAAATCAGATTAAATATATGACATTTTGTATAAGTATTTGGATATGAGAGCAAAATGAATAAGACAAAGCTTCATGTTTGATTTCATAGTTTTGTTGTTTCAATGAATACAGAGATTCTTTCTAAAATTAAAAACCATTTTTTTTGCTTTGCTAACTATATGTGGTTTAAGATTTTTCTAAAAACATTTATCTTTAAAAAAACTAAAATTCTTATTTAAAGAAGAGACTCTTCTATACATGTATTTATATTAAAAATATAAAATAAACTATAAAATTTTACCATTTTTAGATGTTATAATATTATTTTTAAAATATAAAATTTAATTTATCATTCAAGAAAAATAAAAAAAAAATAAAAAAAAAAAATAAATGATATATATATATATATATATATATATATATATGAAATTTATTGAGTTGTTAAATTCTAAATTTCATATTTAAAAAAGCCTTGAAGATTTTATTCTCTAATTTTTAAATGCATGGTTTTTTAATATTAAATATTTATCTTCAAACTAATTATATTTTATCATTAGATCTTTATTTATGCTTTCTACTAAAAACATAGCATTGTTTTGGTGGATTGTAAGACAATGACAATATATACTAAACAGTCTTATTTTTTAATGATTGGTAGACTTTACATTAGTCTACTTATTTCTTGGAAGATATTTGTGTTTATCATTTAGAGTGTTAATTAAACAAGATTTTATAGACAGTATTAACAATTAAATTTCCATATTAGAATTTTTTATTTTGATACTATATCTATTGATGGATTTTAATGAAATTACTTCAAAGTTAGTTGTTTGTACAATAATTAAGCAAGCTTGTGCCAGTTACATATTATCAAGTATAAGAGTTCAAATGATACAAGTGTTTATATTCATCCCAAATAAGTAAATAGTTCTGACTGTTAGAATATGTTTCATATTATGATTGTATATGTCTGTATTGTGAGTTTCCTCATAGTTTACATCTTTTTATAGTTTTTTTCTTTTGTAGGCTGCTCAAAGTGTTATTTAAAACTTCCTATAAATTATCATTTAATAAAAAATAAAAATAATCATCTCAATTTGAATTTTGATCAAATTGTATTATCCAAAAAATGTTGTGTTTGTAAACAAAAAATTAAATCTTTTAATTTATTATAAAAAAAACAATAACTTTACTTACATTCACATAGAAATTGATTATTTGATCACTAAATTTTTTTTTATAAGTTATTTGTCTAAATTTAGTAATAAACATATATTCAAATTCCTTCCATTATTACTCAACTTATAAATTCATGTAGATAATTAAGTACTAAACATATAAAACTCTATTGCAAATATCTTGTCAACTTAAGACATGCATTTTATATATATATTTTTGCCAATTTAGACTTTACGTAAATAAATATATTCTAGCCATATATGCCTTAAAAAAAATCTTAATAAAATATAGCTTTGGTTTCATTTAAATGTTATAGATTACGGAAAAAAAAAATTAGTTCTTTTGGAAAAATATGAACTACATCTTAACATATAGTAATATTAACTCCATTAAGAATTTTTATTAATGTATTATGTAGAACACTCACTTGACTACAACTTATGATTTCTTTTAAAAAGTAAATGATATTTTTTACATATTATTAAAATTTAAACACAAAAACTATTGTGAAAAGTTTTTTTTTAAAAGTAAAAAAATAATAAAAGAGAGAAGATAGATTGTATGCATGTGATTGCATTATGGAGCAATATATGTATTATTTATGATCTGACATTATTTCTTAGAAACGGCTCCTTTTTAAAAAAAAGCCTTATAAAAAGTTTAATTTAACACCATTTCGACAGCACATGGTTGGAAATAAATATGGCTTTCACAATTGTATAAGGGCTTAGATGTGCAATATTTTAAATTTATAAGTTAGATTTAAGTCATTTTATTAATTAGAAAAAATGAAGTAAGTCTATATTTAAATATTTTGTAATATATATAATTCATAAAACAAGACGTAGAAGTAGAATGGATATGTGTAGGATTATTAAAGGGATTGTAAAATATAAATGAGATATAATAGCAATTTTTTTAATCTCAATATTTTGGCAATTACAAGACACATTCGAAAGGTAGAATTTAACTATCGCTCCATATGACAATGTGAATTAAGTTCAGATTTATTCTTTGTAAGTAATAAAATTTAGAATCATGACCAAAGGAAAAAGTAAAAAACCAAAAAAATAGCGAATCAAAATATAATATAGTTTTAGCTCAAATTTAAAATAATAAATAATAAAATATCATATATATATATATATATATATATATATATATGTGTTAAATTATTAGAGTATTTTAATAAACTAATAAAATTTAAGTTTGATTTATAAAATTATATTATTAAAATAAATATCTGTAATTTGAAACTATGTATTTAGTATGTATTTATGTATCTTTTGTAGATTTCTTTTAAAACCAAATATATATATATATATATATATATATATATGTAATTCTAAAATTATCATATAAAAGAAACATAAAAATACTAGAAAATAAAGATTTTTTAATAAATTATATTATAAAGTTTAAAATAATTGTAGATGCTATATAACAAATAGTTATATAGATTACATAATTATGATATATTATGCATGTATATATATATATATATATATATTTAAATATATTTTTAGATTGATTATAGATTTATTTATAATTTAAGGTTTGATTAGGATTCGATTAAGATTAATTTAGGATTTAGAATTTGATTAGGATTTGGTTAGAATTTGATTAGAATTTTCTTAGAATTTCATTAAGATATTTTGGAATTATATTAAGATTTATTTAGGATTATATTAGGATTTGATTAGAATTATATTAGGATTTGATTAAGATTGTTTAGGATTACATAAAGATTACATTAGGATTTCATTAGGATTTTTTTAAAATTACATTAGGATTTTATTGGAGTTTATTTAGAATTACATTAGGATTTCATTAAAGTTTGTTTAGGATTACATTAGGATTTTATTATGATTTTATTAGAACTTTTTAAGGATTTTTTAGGATTTTGTTTTAGTGGTTTTTATAAATTTTTTTATAATTTTTTTATGCTTCTTTTAAAAAAATTAAAGACATCTTTTGGATTTGATTAAGATTTGATTATGATTGTTAAGCCCTAATTGGAATATATTTAGGATTCTATTAGAGTTTTTAGGATCTTCTTACTGCAATTTTTAATTTACCTTCCATAGCCAAAAGTCCAATACATTCTCAAGCAAGACTCCACATAATACAAAAATGTCTCATTTGTTTTATTTACAATTTACAAATTCTTGTCTTTGATAATATGTTTGACTATAAGGAAAAATAAAGGTCATGATAATACAAACCAAACTATAAAAACTATGATTGATACTTAAAAGATGATTGTTTGTTAAACAAGGTTGAAAATTGATAATGAAGTACTTAATTAATCACCTAAGATAAACAAGGAGGTATTTTTAGAGAGTGGTGAGTAAGACGAGAGGCTTAGCTATGAAGATATTAAAATGGTACAAAGCATTTTTAATTAAATATTACAAAAGAATTAAAAAATATATATATATTAATAACAATAACAATTAATAAGGTTTTTTTGGATATTAAATCACTTAAAGGGAGTAAATGTAGAAATCGGAACTAGATTGAATTTTTGAATTTAGACTTGATCTATGATTAATTTGTAACAAGTTTGTATGTATGTTTAAGTGGCATATGCTTATTAAATTAAATCTCAATCAATGGAGTAATTGGAAGATATCTAGTTGTATATACAAGAAGATATTAAAAATTCATGATTTAAGATTTATTAGAAATCTTGTAATATTTAGTAATGAAGGTAAAGTTTGATATATGTTTAGTTTTTGTTAAGATAAAACAAAATATAAACTTTAAGTGAAATTAGATTTTTAAATTAGATCTAACAACTAGAATTCTTTTTATTAAACATAGAATAAGAAATCAAGCAATATGAATATAATTTTGTTTAGGTCTTTCAACAGAAAAGTTGGATTTGTTTTAAAATTTATAAACATACAAAATACTTAAAATATTTATTATCTTTCAAAACTTGATGCCAATTTTTATGATTTGATTAAACAACTTTGCTTAGTTTAAGATTATCAATCAAGATCAAGTTTTTGTCATAAAGATTCAAAGTTTTAACTAAGTTAAATAAAAAAAAAGAAATAAGTGTTGAGATTGTTAAAATAAATATTTTTAATTACTTTATTTGAAAATTAAATACTAATAGGGTCAAATTTAAGATTTCTTGCTTTGTAAATATTAAAGCTTATTCAAGGTTATAAAAATATTGTAACTACGTTGAATTTTATATATACAACATGATAGTTGATAAATTTAAAAATAAGAACTCACATGATTCAAAATAGGTTATAAATCGTATATAAAATTTTGAGGTGGAAGATCTCTTGTAAATTTGATTGATATTTTTATTGCATAAAGAAAAAAATTCAAATATTTAAAGTTTAATTAATTAATTTTAATCAATTTTTAAATAGAATTCTAAATAGATTTTAGGATTTAGCATTTAGGATTTGATTGAAATGAATCAACCACATTAATATAAATATGTAATCTATAAAATTATTAAAAAAAATTGAGAGACAATACTTTTGATTAATAAAGATCAAAATATTAACACTAAAATCAAATAATATAGAGTTATTTCTTTGGAGTATTAATAAAAAAATTGAACAAAATTCTATCTCATCTTTGCTTGTACAATCAACAAGCAAAGATGAGATAGAATTTTGTCACAATGGCAACAATATATATTTAAATTTATATTTATATATATAGATATATATATATGCACACCTATGTGCGCATACATACTTAATGTGCAGATCCACATTGCTGCACAACTTTACTGATCTTTCGCTTCTTGCCTCGCTCCAACAGTGTCGCAAATCCCAGGACTTCAGTATCTCACGACTGAAATGGGTTGTTATCTTCTGAGATGAAGCAGGAGGTCTGGAGGTGTACTGGAATCGGAATGTGCTGGCATCTAGCGCTAGATTGTAACAGCCTTCGGGAGAATGGGGTTCGGCAGGTAGCTCGTTGTCCCCGCAGTCACTTGAGCATCTAGTGACGACCTGAGATGATTGTTACCCAGTCCTGGATAAGTTTTTTTCTCTTCTTACTACTTTGACATCCAGAGCGTAACTGAAAGTTGTATGGGGATGACATGCAGGTAACATGATCTAGAGTCAGCGTGCAAATTCTCTTGTCTGCAACGCACAGTGTTGAACGATCTAAGGGACAATTGGTCCAGACTGGGTGGCAATCCATCCAAAGTTGGATGCAATTGATCAGTTGCATTGCGTCGCACTGGAGCAGAGAAACAGGAAGCTTTTTGCAGGTTTCTAAATTCCGCATTGTGCTTGTGGAGGAATCTTTAGTGGTGTGCAAACCACGAGGAAGGCAAGGATGAAATGCGCATCTAAAGGGGGTGAATATTAAAGCCACGTCGTCGACCACCATTGGTGCCTTACTCTGGGCCCCACACTGGAGCGCTCTCGAGGAAGGACATTACCGGATGGACTGGGGAGCCAATCAGTGATTCTATGGTGCTGCTCGTCCCGTGCGGCCCAGATTCGGAAGCCCGAGCTTAAGTAGATAGTGCTGCTTGGTCCATGTTTGCTGTTGATGTTGCCAAAGCCAAAGTTACCGCGCTTGCCTTTACACTTCACCTGCACTCCCTCCGTCCCTTCCACTTTGTAAAGCTCTTAACTGCCAAAAAACTTTCATTTCCACCTCCTCGGAATTCCGCCACTTAAAATCCTTCGTCCCTGCTTCAAGGGCGCTTTTCCTAGTCCACCGCTTCCTCCACGTCGCTCTGGTAGGTTCCATCCTCCACCATTCGGTACGTTGAGTTCACTTCTCCACTTTCTTGTCGTGAAGGCGAGTTGTTTGTGCACACTGTTGGACATGGGTGGCTTAGCATGCTAATGTGGTGGAGTGTAGCGTTGCTCTGGTGGGTAGAACTCTTGCTCACGTCCTTATCCACTGTTTTTGCTTTGTTGTGGATTTCATTACTGAGCTCACTGAGCGAGAGGTTCCTCTGTCAGCCACTCTTGTACCTTCGTGCCGCTAGTACAATGTTTGAATTGGAATTCAAGCCGCTTGTGAGAACTTGTAAGAACCTGCAGCCCTCCCAGTCTGTGGCTGCTGGTAATGTAGACACTTTCGTGGTCTACTCATTATGCTAAAAGGATCTCCGAAGAACGGTATTTTTCACTGTGAGAGAGAAAAGTTGAGTTGACGCAAATCATTCTTTCAATAACCTCGTGAATGTAGAATAATAAGCGGGTGTCCGAGGGTCGGTGAACTTGCAATTGCGCAGCCAATTATCAATTTCTCTAATCATGGTGACAAGTCTACACATGGGAAAATGATTTCTAAATTCCTCAGACAGGTGGACTAACCAAATGAATGTGAGCGCGAAGGGTGTCAGACAGATTTGGGTGATAAAATTCATTTGCTTCTCGCAAGTGTGTGGTCTTTTAATTGTCTTTCTTAGCTGCAAGCTGTATTGCAAATGGGACTAGTGATAGTCAGCTACTAGAGATAACGTGCAGATTTAGGTCGCTGTGACAATTCTGACCGTGGGACAAATATTTCAGTTAAAGATTTGAGACTTTGATCCTGAGTTCTGTTTTAATGTGGGTCTTTAGGTGGTCATGCTGCTTGTTGCGAAAAAAGCTTTCTTCTACAAGAAACGGTGGGTGACAGCATGAAGGTTATGACATGTGTCTTCTTGTACAAGCCACGTTGAGGAATTGACGGAACCTGTTGCTTGTACTAATTGAGGTGGGCAATTCAACCCTTAAATCATTATCCCCCGTTTCTCATTCTTTAATTTTTTTAATGTGCTTCACGGTCATTGAAGAGCTGAAGCATTCGTCGATGTCTGTACAGGATTTCAAGAGAACTTCACTGTTCAGAAGGATTTGTGAGTATGTCGTTTGATTCCACGTTTGGATCACCAGGAAGTAGAAAAACAATGAAGAAAGGGAATCGAGGCTCTCTCGAAGTCTTCGGCGGTGCCCCTCGTCTGATGCAAGCTGGCATCTACGGTGGGCTGGCAGTTCCCCAGGAAGATGAACTACCGGAAGCTACCAATATACTGGACAACATTTCAGGGCCGCTTACTAACCGAGGACTCGGTGCGACGGATGTGTCGAGCGCACCGGCACCGGTTCTACCCAAAGTAAATTCAACCTTGCGACAGAGCAGCCGAAAGATAGCTGAGGTAGAGAAGTCCTTGTCGGAGAGGGCAATGGTCGTGGAAGGATTGTTGCCATCCAGAGGGTCTAGCATGTCGCAATCTCGCAGAGAATCGCTTTCTTCACGTAAAGACGACAGAGAGGCTATGAAACCTGTGAAGGAAAACTCAGGGGAACCCAAGTTGTCGCAGCAAGAGCTCATGGCGGAGAGAATCGCCGAGTGGGGTTTAGTGCTTAACTCCACCAAGGCCGGGAAACCGCAAGATGTAAATACGCGGAGGTCTGAAGACATGAGGATGAGCATGAAATCAGGAGAGTATCATCGCCCCTCCGAGTCGTACCGCAGATTCTCAGAAGAGTACCAGAAGTCTGAGTACGTTCCCACTTCCAGGGGACCCTCCAAGCGGAACTCGCAGGTGTCAGAGGATGTACCCGTCCAAGTTTCTGAGGAATTACTAGACGCTTTGTCGTCGTTCAAGCAAACGTTTGTGGTGTCTGATGCTACGAAGCCGGACTGTCCTATAGTGTATGCGAGTGCGGGATTCTTCACAATGAGTGGGTACAGTGCGAAGGAGATCATCGGTCACAATTGCCGATTCTTGCAAGGTCCCGACACTGATCCAGCGGACGTCGAAAAGATCCGACATGCTGTAAAGAATGGGAAAAACTTCTGTGGTCGTTTGCTGAACTATAGGAAAGATGGGTCTACGTTCTGGAATTTGCTGACAATTACGCCCATTAAGGATGAAAACGACAAGGTGGTCAAATTCATAGGGTACGTTTCTTTACGCAATGGTTGTTGAACTCTTCAACAAAATATTTCAGCGGCCACGAGGTCCAAATCTGCTGCCTACTTAATGACGTGCACGGTTGCGGTACAACAGAATGCAGGTTGAAGTGAGCAAGTACACGGAGGGTGCTAAAGCCGTGGCTCGACGTCCCAACGGCCTGCCCGAGTCGCTGATCCGTTACGACGGTGTGTGCTTTTTCATTTTTCCACATCTTTGTCTGCGACGCGAACTCGAGTATCAGTCAAGAATGCTAGAATATCTCCTTCCCGATAAGATCTTGAGCTTGAGTTTTCTCTCTTTCTCAACATGATAACACTGTGAAATGATATAAGGACGAGCTGTCCTTACTAGGTGGTGACGATCTCACTCAGAGTGGATCTGCACTTCTAAAATTGTGATCTCTGACTCTAATTGTATTGACGCGCGTGCAGCTCGACAGAAAGACAAGGCCACTGAATCGGTGACAGAACTAGTGGGGGCCTTCAAGAAACCACAACCACCACCAACACCCGCGCTGCAATCCATTCCCGCAGACGGAAGTCTAGTATCCCCGCTCCCATCTCAGACTATATCTACTGCTATTCACAGCAACAAAGTCCAAGGCCACCGTCGCTCCACCGAACCTTACACCAGTTCCCGCGCACAGAAGCTCTCTGGGGTGTCGGAGCTGGGGGACACGGGCAGGAGCAAGCGAACGTCAGGATTTCTATCTCTTCTTGGGATTGGGCAAAAGTCGGAACGGATCATGGAGGAAGGTAACCTGGAATCTGACCTCGAAGCTGACCTGCTAGTCCTGGACCGGCCTGAGAGTCGAGATGACTTCGATCGCACTCTGGGCATCCGTCGAGGAATCGACTTGGCTACAACACTGGAGCGAATTGAAAAGAACTTCGTCATAACTGATCCCCGGCTTCCTGATAATCCCATTGTAAGTTGTAGTCTTGGCGTTGCTATCATAGCTCATGCACAATACATGGATTATCTGTGGCAGTAACTAATTCTTGGCGCTCTACAGATTTTCGCATCCGACGAGTTTTTGGAGCTGACAGAGTATACCCGTGAGGAGATTTTGGGGCGCAATTGCAGGTAATTGTTTTACAGCGTTGAAGATTGTGTGGGTTGCTGGAATTAACATTTCGGCGTTGTAATATCGTTGGGGGTGCCTGCTTGTGGGATCTTAAACCGATAGTGGCGGCAAAAAGGGTACAAACGTCACTTGTGACAATGTGTTCGAAATTCATCTGTGACATTGTGGAACTGGTGCTCAGATTCTTGCAAGGTCCAGATACAGATCAGAACACTGTGCAAAAGATACGGGATGCGATCAAAGAGAACAGGGACATCACAGTGCAGTTGCTGAACTACACAAAGAGCGGTAAGTGACCTTCGTAGTTCGCTGAACTGATTGGAAGAGTTTCCGCATCTTCAACAGCTGATAAAAACTTTGAATATGTTCTGATCAATTTGCGATTGGTGGACATTGAAGGCAAACCGTTTTGGAACCTCTTTCATCTTCAAGCCATGCGTGACCACAAGGTTTTATTTTGTTCCCAAGCTCTTGAATTCAGTGGTCCTGCGAGCCGCTTGTTATGTTAGAAACCAATGCTTGAAGCTGTATCAGCTGCAATTCTGTTATATGTTACTGCTCAGGCTTATTGTTGAGATTTTGTGAATACAGGGAGAGCTACAATACTTCATAGGAGTGCAGATGGACGGGAGTGAGTACGTGGAGCCGACACGTCATCGTCTGTCAGATAAAACCGAGAAAGCAAGCGCAATGTTGGTACGTTTTAAAGAATTTACTCCATGAAACATTATTCACAGAATCGTTTGTTTCCATAATCGCGGACATCGAGCTTCTACATTGTAGTTTACCTCGTATCGCTGTTGGATCTAACCCCCTGGTTGGCAATTGTTTTAGGTCCAAGAGACTGCTAGGAACATTGACACTGCGGTTCGTGAGCTGCCAGACGCAAACACGGTGAGCTCTTCACTATCTGGTCGCATCAGAAGATCTAGTACTTCCCAACTCTGACTCTGCATTGCCGAGTCTACCCGTGTGGATCTGATTGAGAAGTTTGCCATGTGTAGACACCCGAAGATCTGTGGGCGAACCATTCAAAGTCTGTGATGCCCAAACCGCACATGGGTGGTACCCCAGAATGGCAATCCATTCTCAAGGTCTGTTTCAGACCCACGTTCTTATGATCGCTGTCGCCTCTTAACTTCTTACGCATTCTAACGCGCATGTCACACGAAAAGAAATGGAATAGAGCACACGGCTAAATAAGCTTTTACACGTTTGGTGGGTCAGGTCAGAACAGCTGGGAAGAAGCTGGGGTTGAAGAACTTCAAGCCCATCAAGCCCCTGGGATGCGGTGATACTGGAAGTGTACACTTGGTTGAGTTGCGAGGGACTGATCATGTGTTTGCCATGAAGGCTATGGACAAAACGGTCATGATGGACCGGAATAAGGTGCACAGAGCTTGCGTTGAGAGGCAGATTTTGGATCTTATGGACCATCCTTTCCTGCCCACTTTATACGCATCCTTTCAGGTACAACACACTCTTGTCCACACGCTTTTGTTTCTCCTCTTCCTTCGGGGCTGGATCAATCTTGAACTGATACTTTCGATTTATCGTCTACGGTTGGGTTTTACAAAGATTAGAGACTAAGAATGGTGTTAAATTCATATGCACAGACCGCGACACACGTCTGCTTGATTACGGACTTTTGTCCTGGTGGGGAGTTGTTCTTGGTGCTCGAAAGACAGCCCAAGAAACATTTCCGGGAAGATTCTGCAAGGTATGGCTGTATGCAATGGTTGACTATGGTGTGTAGATCTGTTCGGTAGCCACAATGTCTCTATGCTGATTTGTGGTTGCAGTCTGACATTCTTTGTACTTAATTGCAGGTTCTACGCTGCTGAGGTAGTGCTTGCGTTAGAGTATCTACATTGCAAGGGTGAGTGAAATTGAATCTTCAAGTCATCTCCCTTTTCAGACTTTACGCACGATTATTTGGTGTTCTTTCTCGTGTTTCTGACATGCTCTCGTGAATCTTCTCACCTCAGGAGTAATCTACCGTGACTTGAAACCAGAGAACATCCTGGTGACAGAGAGCGGACACATACAGCTCACTGACTTCGACCTTTCCTTCATCACAACACCTCGAGTGCAGGTTCGCTTCATACTCTAATTCTCAACTCTATAAATACTTCCACGATGCTTAATGTTCAGTTCTACTGATCATTGCAAGTGCATAAATACAATGTGCAGAATACGCAATGACAAAAATTTGAATTATATCACCGTGCACACTTGTATTGAGGCAGAAGCATCGTGAATTATGTTTTTGCAGCTCATTCCACCTGCAATCCCCAAGACGAGTACGTGGGACAGGGCACGGGGGGCGAAAAAGAAGGCACAGCAGCCCCAGACGAAGGATATCCCTCGCCCCATATTCTTTGCAGCGCCAGTGACGCCATCCAATTCTTTCATTGGGACGGAAGAATACATTGCACCTGTAAGAATGACATGTATTTGTTGCTCCTTTACCTTCTAACCGAGGTGCCCGTGTGTGATGATTTACATACACAGTTTGAGATTGCAACTACCATCGAGTTCATCGTAGTGATGGTGAAAGATGCGTTTTGCAGGAGATCATTTCAGGTCAAGGACACAGTAGCGCCGTGGATTGGTGGGGTCTAGGTGTGTGGTTGTGACCTCATCGCTTGTTGACTTGCATAAATCGTTTCATTTAATTACAGCAAGTTTGCTAACGATGTGAGGGGGCATTCACATTCGTGGTGGTGCTGAATGGGTTCATCGAAGTGATTGCAAAAGCTTGATAACCTGTTTTGTTCTCTCCCTTCATGCAGGCATCTTGATATATGAGATGTTGTTTGGGCGCACGCCATTTAGAGGGAAGAATCGACAAACCACATTCGCCAACGTTTTGGAGAAAGAGCTGTGCTTTCCGGCACATATTCCTGTAAGTTATCCAGAACGTTCAATAGGTGTGGTCGTGTGTAGTAAGTAGAGTACCTCACAAATGCCATGACATGTGAACCACCTAATGTACCATATTGACACTCTCGAAAATATAGGTGAGCTTGGAAGCAAAGACGTTGATACGAGATCTACTGATCAGAGATCCTCTCAAGAGGCTCGGCTCTTATCGTGGGGCAAACGACATCAAGAATCATCCATTTTTCCGAGGCATAAAATGGCCCCTTATCCGCAACATGGTACGTGCAAATTCGAAGCCACCCTGTTATTGTCCTCTGAGTTTCCTTGGAAATGAATTACGGGTTTTTGTGAGTATCTTAAATTCCACTCTAATCTTTCTCACACGATTCACATGTGCTCGTGAGCTAACCCTAGTTTTAAGACATGACTCATTGTATTCTGTTCATGAACTGAACGTCGTGTCTGTGTTGTATGCGTTACAGACACCTCCCTCTCTCGAGGTTCCTTTGCTTATCACCTCGAGCGTGCCAGAGTTGGACGACAAAGGCGCAGAGCTTGAGTGGGACGATATGGAGGCTGCCTCGAATTTCGGTGACACTTTTTAGACCGGTATTGAGACAGTCCATTGTTACATACTCACCTACAATCTAGTGTTTCCACTCAGCAGGTCCAGAAGCGAATAACGACGACCAGATCTATTAGGTTAAACTTAACTTTCTTAAGCATGGTGTGCACAAATTCGTAAAGAGAAGTGATTGTTGAAGAATGCCAGTGTCGGCTTCCATCTCCCATTGTCTAACGAATATGTTGTGATTGGACTGCAGTTCAGCGCTAAAGAAATCCACCATAGTTGTTGCACCTCCATACAGTCTGATTAGACTCTAAGCCATGTTCCATTCCGTTTGAGTAATCCTTGTCTGCTGATGTGGCTCTGCGGCGACAACCACATACCATATTAGCAAGGTAGGGTCTTGTGTGGCATCTTGGATTGGCATGTTTTTGACAATCTACTGTCTGCAGTTGAGATTCATCGAAACCCGTCATCGTACTATTAAAAGCCCTGACACGTTGCGAGATGTTGGGTGCAGGGATCATCAACCTGGTGGCGGGCATCGGAAGCGAGATTTGGCAAAATCATTTCGTCACACATTATCATGCAAGTGCGACCCACCTATGGGTATTTGCCAGCTGAATATGGGGCCAAGTTGTGTAGTTAACACCCTACAACATGATGTGCTGCAGTTGGTACTACGTATACAAGCGTCTGATTGAGGTTTTGATTTCTAAATGCGAAGCACTTGGGCTTGTTAGTGAAGAGCGCTGCGCAGAGCTGTGTAGCTGTGATTGAAAATCCAGTGCTTCCAAGGTGTGACCAGGTGAAATCACACCTACGATGGAGTTGTTTATATCGTGAGCAATAGTTTTATATCCTGTGCACAATTTTCTGTGTCCATGATAGTTGATTCAGTAGCTATTTTAGGCTTCTTGCACTGTCTACAGTTGTGGAAATCCAAGTCTACTTAGAAGCATTTCTGTCTAATGAATCTATAATGAGCAGAGTGAGATAGTAAACTAGTCCTCAGTGGTTTGTGGAGTGCCTTCTGAATCTCGTAGTTTAGACCGACAATAGTGGAAATGAAGAGATGATTTTGAAGGATTAATTTTGTGGTCTTGAAAGAGAAAAAAGGAGACAAAATTGCATGGCATCTTGGTTGACTCAAAAAATCTTTTACTCTCTAATTGCTGCATTTGTACAAGTCAAATACTGTCTTTTCAGTGTTTTGCAATGAGCAAAACTAAGTGAAAATATATAGTTTTTTACACTAATATCTTGAATAAGTTAGAAACAAGGAACGCAGGACCTGAAGAAAAGCAATTTAACAAATAGATAAACAAGAACCAAGAAAGACTCTAAAAACAACTTTTTGAGCTTATCTCCTGACTAAACTTAATTTTTCGATACAGAACGTCGACATTTCTTTGCAGACTATTCGACAAGTATACTATTATTTTATGTGGCATTTGTGTTTCTAAGGATGAATGATATCAAAATACTAAATACAAAATTATCTGCAATGTCGAATTTTTTCGTGTAATATTGCTCTTACTAAGACTATTACTTTTATTCCAAATTTAGGAATGAATTCTAATTATGCTAATGTAGGTTATGCTTTAAATGATACTTATAATAATTGATTTTTACTTTGAAATATTTCTTTAAAATAATAATATTATATATATATATATATATATATATATATATATATATATATACATATAAAATTATGTTTTGAATATTGAAAAGAAATTATTATGTGAAAATTATAAGCTTAAACACAATTATCTTAATTTATTTTTTTAATCACGAATTTATTGCAAATAATTTTTTATTAAAACAAAAATTGTATGCAACAAAAACATATACATGAAACATCTCCTATTTTGAATTATTACTGTAATACATAAGATTAAAGTTTTTAAATGCATTCAAATACATACTTAATAAGACATAAAGTGATTAAATTACCTAATAGATGTTATTTTCTTAAGAGTATTATTTTACTATTAACATGTTGTTGAAAAATTTTATGCTAATACTGGCCATCTATTAAAGTGTATTGATTTATTATTAGCCAAATTTATCAATAGTAGATTTTGAGATTTTTAACTTTTTAATGTAAAAAACATTTCTTAAAAGTATGCCAAAAATATAAATCACTTCAAAAACTCAAGATTTTTTCTTTTTAAAATTAAAAAATACATGAATAGATTTTTTATACTACATCTTATATTATTATTAAGAAAATATTTTATTATCATGAAGAATAAAAATACTATAATAAATCATAAAATTATAATTTCATTAAAAAATTTAATTTATAGAATTATTAAACTTATAATTAAAGTGGCTATTTTATACAAATTAAATGTAAATTACTAATAATCCATCTTATTTAAGAATGCTTGTTAATTATTCAAAAATATGGTTGATTTCAATATGTCAATAAATCTATTATATAATAAAGCTATGTTAAGGATATCTATCACAAATAACCAAAGGGACAATACACGCTTGCATTACTAGAAAAAAAGTAGATAATAACTCAAAGATGGTATAACATTAAAATTAGAATGGCTATTGCTAAAGACAAAATGACATGAGACTTTTAAAACAAGACTAAGAATATGAAAGGCATTGACAAGAGCAAGGAAGGCCTTACTCTTGCTTCCATATATACTATCTAACGTGGAACTATATGACATCATTCTATACGATCTTCAATATATGTCCAACTTGAAAAAACATGTGTTTAACTTATAAGACAAGTTTCCTACATATGTGCCACATGACCAACTTATTTCACAAGTCACTAACATATATGACTTGTGGCCAAATTTTCAACCTATGAATCAACTACAAATATGTAAAAAATCAAATACACATCTATTAAGCTTCTAAGAAGCTTATCTATAAGATATTGTCAAATTTACTTCTACCGAATTTCTTTAATTTAGATAAATATATATATATATATATATATATATATATCCAAGACAATAAATCATATTGTTGTGGTAAATGTTACATACATGTTACTATAAATCATGTAATGTAATTGACCACAATAGTAGCTAATTATAAAGATGGTTCTAATATTTTTTTTTTAACTTTTGATATAAGTATATCATAATTTATTGTAGATATTGTACAAAGATAATTATAAATAAAATATAAAAATCAATAATTATTATAGTTTTTTTTTTAATTCTAATTAAAAAAACTAACTTGCTCATTCATTTTAGAATGTCCGATTTAAAGATAGTTATTGATTTAACATTAGATAATATTATTTTTATTTAAAACAAAATTATTGTGCTTAAGTTATTATTATTTAATTGATATCATAAATAATATCTTTAATGTTTATAATATTATGTCAAACAAGGCATGTCAAAAGAAAGAGCATTGCAATTATGGACCAATAATCAAAAAAACATAATTGAATAAGACATAGAATTTATATTGTATACATTAATTTACCAATTATTGGTAAATATAGAAAAAGATGGAATTATTAGAATACATGATCAACTACAAGATATGGTTAGAAACATTATTGGAAAAAAAATGGAATATAAATATACAAAAATATGGAATTTGAAAATATATCTATTTTAGGATTTTCAAATAAGGTAATTTTACTCAACTATCATCTAAATGGCATGTGTAGAACTGATAAAAATATAAAAGAATTAATATGAGAAGGTGCAAATGTTTTTTTATCTCATCTTATTTGTATAGTATTTTTTTAGATGTATGTTGATATAAAGTCATTATTTAGATAAATTAACCTTGCATAATAATTAAATTTTTATGAATATATATATATATATATATATATATTTATATTTATATAAAAAAATATATAAATACTAATATTTTGGTGTGATTAATTGTATTGGTTTATGTTAAAAGGATTATCTTTCAACAATCTAAATAACAACATTTTTATTGAAGTAAGAAGTGCTTGCTTTTCATCACTTATATTTTTAAGTTGTAATATAAGTTTTTCCACACCAGAGATTGTTATATTGATATTAAGTATGTTATTTGAGTTTATATATATATATATATATATATATATATATATACTTATATATATATTTTAAATTTTTTTCTACTTTACATATTCTATCAATACAAATTAAAAAAAAAAAAAAAAAAAAAAAAAAAAGTAGACAAGGCATTGCACATGCTATATGACAAAGATACTTGGAAAAAAAATTCAAAGCTTATTTGTCTTGTCATTAAAAAATTATTCTTTTATAAATCAAAATAAAATTTTATTATTTGAAACTGCTACATTATTAGAATTTGATGTCGAAGGGTGTTTAAACATGACTATGCTACCAAATAAAATAGAAAATATGACCACATAAAAAAATACTTAGTTTAAAGGATTGTGAAAAACTAAAATCATTATTGACATCATTATAAAGTCTTTTGTTTTTAAAAAATTTAAATATAAGTAAGTGTCAAACTCAATATTATTGCCAAATGAATTAGGCAACATCACTTTTTTGACTACCTTTGATATGAGGTGGTGCTCAAGCTTGACATCATTGTCAAATGAATTGAGGGATTTATCATCTTTAATTACAATTTATATAAGTAATTATAAAAGCTTAATATCATATTAATTTTTTTTTTTTTAATATTTCATTATTTAAAGTCCAACATCCATATCAAAAGAAGTTAATAACTTCACATCTTTGATTTCTTATATTATGCATAATTTCTAAAGCTTGACATCATTGCTAAAAATTTAGACAATCTAATAATATTGACTATTTTAATACAAAAAATATGGTTTGGTTTTGAAATTTTTGTTAAATAAATAAAATAATTACTAGAGATCTTTGCAAAAAGAATAAACAACCTCACATGTTTGATTATCTTTTTTTAATCATGTGCTTAAGTTTGACATTGTTACCAAATGAATTGTGTAATTTCACATCTTTGACCACTTTGGATATAAGTGAGTGTTAGAGCTTGATATTAGTATCAATTGAATTGGATTATGCTACATCTTTGATTACTTTTGATATACAAGGGTTCTCAAGCTTGGCATTATAGTTAAATAAATTGAATTTTACATCTTTGATTACTTGTAATATATTGCAATAGTCTACTTCAATATTATTGCTAAATAAATTAAGTAAAATCACACCTTTGACTACTTTTCATACATAAAAGTAATAAATCTTAATACTGTCATCAAAAAAATTAAATAATCTTATATTTGAAATTACTTTTTAGTTTTGGAGGATAAATAAGCTTAATATTATTGCAAAATAAATTAGGAAATCTCACATCTTTTTACTACTTTTGATAAAAAAAGATGCTCAATTTTAATATTATTTCTAATTGATTTCATTAACATAAAATGTTTTACTACCTTTGATATAAGCAAGTACTCAATATTGGTATTATCCAAAATAAAATTAAAAAATTCCACATCTTCGACTTCTTTATATTTGGAGGTAATCAAGCTCTAAAACATTATCAAATAAATTGGGTAATTTTACAAGTATAACTATTTTAATTAGAACAATCAAAAATAACTACAAACTACTATTATCAACATTGTTAAGGAGCATCTTTAATCTCAAGTAACTCCAATTAATGGTATTTTATTAAATTAAAGATTCAGCATATTTTTATAAAAAAAATTATTATGAGTTTTTTTTGAGATTCTAAAACTTACTCAGTATTTGCAAAATATAGTGGCTTATTATACTTATCGGTTGTTCTCTATTAATTTGTTATTATGTTTATAATTATTTTTTATTAAATTATTTTTTATTTTAGGAATTATATTATTGGCTATATATATATATATATATATATAATAGCTTCATCAAAGTAATTTATTTATAGTAATATAATGTTACCACTTTTTTATATTATAATAAGAATTCTCTTATAAAAAAGAAAAAGAATATACTATTTTATTATTATTAGAGTACCACTAATTAGAAACCAAAAGATTTTTCAATACAAAGTAAAGACCCATGAATTAGAAAGAGTATATGCAAAGCTAAAACTTTGTAATGACATAGGAATGAGATGGTTCATGTTTGCAATTGAAAGTTTTTTTTTTTTTACATTTTGATTAGGTATTAAGTTGGATAATTTTTTTAAAAATAATAAATTATTAAAAACCATAGATTTAAAAGATATATATTAAAACAATCATGATGTAATCTTGAAGGTAATCCTACTTGGTAGAAGATTAAAAGATGAATGAGCAAGAACTATTAATTTTAGAATCAAGATTGTATTCTAGAAGCATTATAGTTAAATTATTTTTTAATTTTATTCTATTTTTAGTATATATAAAATCTAAAACATCAAAAATCATACTAATATTATAATATATATATATATATATATATATATATATATATATATTGTTTAGAACCTAATATTATATAAATTAATTGAATCTTTTAACCATTAATCAATAGTTAAAGTAGTCAATTGTCAAAAATCTAATTTTTTAAAATTTGGATTTATTAACATTGGGTAGGAAGTAAAATAGGTAAATAAAACCAAACTCATATTATATTTTGTTGCAAAAAAAAAACAAAGCCAGAACAATTAGTTGAAAATTAATACATTAAATATAATTAATATTTATGGGGAAAAAAAGACATAGAACTAATAAAATACAAGATTGATTCAATCTAAAAAAATTACAAGTTTAAAATAAGAAGAAAAAAAAGAAAGTATATATCCCAATTAAAAATACATAAAACAAATAGGCTTGTATAATCGGCTTATATATATATATATATATATATATATATATATTGTTATATTTTTAGTTGGTTTTAAAAAATTACAAATTATATAAAAATATATTACAATATATAATTTTATCTCCAAATTATACAAAAATATATTTAATATTTTGATTGTCATATTTAACATTAGTATATTTATATTTATATAAACTTTATACATTGACTATGCAATTCAATATGAGCACTAGTTTAAATAAATTTTTATCCACTTAAAGAAGTGTCAATTAAAAACATGTAAAGAAACATCTTACAACATCTTGGTGAAATCTACACTCACTCATGTAACCTAGCTAATGTCAAAAGAATAAACAAAGTATCTAGTTTTTAAAATAAATTTAATCACTCAAATTTAACTAATTATTACTAATAAGCGTCTATCATTTAAATCAACTTGACTTGCTTGATTTTTATAGTTGCTAATTTTAACTCCATAAACATAGTATTTTTTAGTTAATAAATAAATAAATAACTGATTTTTAATTAAACAAACATGTCTTTTTCTTCTTCTTTTTTCTAAATATGCATGAAGATACTTATCATAAACAAAATTAGCATTAAGTAACAACAATCAATACAACATGCACAAGAAGTTCAATCCAAAGCAATCACAAACCTTAAAAAACCAAAACCATGAGCAAAAGTAGCAACATGGACTTATACATTTGATGACCTTGAAGAAGTCTGTTATGACGAAATCCAACTGTACCACAACATAGCAAAAAATCAAGACTATTCTACAATAAAAGTAAAGTGATTGCAAGGGCACAAGTAGATTTCCAGGTAACTGTACAGAGTCAAAACACTTTAGACAACTGTGAATCTGTGTAGTGTAAATAGCTAGACATAGAGGAGGAGAGTGAAAGTAATAGCCAATACAAATGTAAGCAATGGGCTGTTGGAACTACCTTAGTGTCATCGCCATAGTCAAACTGGCACGGCACAGGTGACGCTGGCCACCGCCAATTCCTCAGTCAGTCCGGATAAGGGCTTTGGAAAGGTGCCAGTTTTGGTGTTGGGGGGTTCGGCATAGCCCACCACACTCTCATTCACCTCGTCTCGCCTCGCACACCTCACTGATCGATTGGAGTGTAACCTTCACTGTTGCAGTGTTTATGCATTTGACGCAATTGGGTGCAAGCTTGGGTCCATTGTTCAGGCGAACAGCCTACGTTGTCGAGCCGAGCTAGTGTGGTGTTTCCTTGCACATGAGGTGATTAGCGGAGTTTTGCTGTGAATTTTGGAGCAGTGGGTGGTGGTGAATTAGGCCTTTGTTGTTGTTGTTTTTCTTTTTTCTTTTTCTTTTTTCCTTTCCTTTTTTTTTTCTTGATTGTCGTCAATTGGAATCTACGGATTGTGTTTGCTGGTGGAAGGGGAGTGGATTGATTTATTGGTTTGTTAATTTATTATCTGTAGATTCACTCATAAGTCGCGTTTGATCGTTAGATGGAGCATTCCTGTGTAGTCGGCAGGTTTTTTCCTGGCCTTGTCTAGTTGAATTCTACTGTTTGTATATTACTATTATTATTCTTTTGAGAAAAATTCTGGGTGCTGTTCCTGCAGCAATATATGCGTATATGTCCCAGTTAAGCGAAGATCTTTCACGACGCATTCACATCTGGAAAGCCTAATACCGTGGGACTGAAGCTGATGCTGTTTGTTTTAGCGTTTCTGCTGTGTGGGATGAATGCATAGCTGAGTGAGGATCCTGCTTTCGGCGCTCTCACAACCTGCATTATTTTGGGGCGACTTCCTGATTTACAGCGGGGAGTTATGGCTTCGTCGTAGATTGTAGCGTTAAGAAAGAAGCATAAACGGGCTGTAGATTGCAGCTGCAGAGTGATGATCAAAGATTCCATGCTTCTCTTACGCCACACTGGCAATGCTGGGGGTTTCAGAATTCGAGCATGCGTGGTAAGACGATCTTTTTACGTCCTCTTCTTTGACAATCAAATCTGAGCATTCATCTGCACAATTCATGTCACTTAGTATTCATGCAATTCACTTCACGTGGCAGGGACAACGTAATGCTGTCCACACAGCGTTCTCGCCTTTGCTGGCTTGGCTTGAGTCACGAGGAGAAACCGAAGCACTGACATCTCTTACCATCGGCAATACCAATCAAGGAAGGTCCGAAAGTCTGTATTACACACTGATCATGAATATCGATAGATGTTTAAACGTCCTGCAGTCTGATATCTAGACAACATAAAAATCGGCCTCACAGAATTTTAGCTATCAGCTTCGGTTATATTTAGTCAAATTATACATCAGGAGTTTCTAGATTACACTGTGTGTGGCACTCCTCACTTAAACGTCTTGTTTCTGTCCAGGGCGCTCCTTTCTATACGTCACATTAAGCGTGGCGAGCAGGTGCTGCGCGTTTCTAGAGAACTTGTATGTGCCTCAGCCTCACTGTTTTTTTAGATCATCCAAGAAGAAGTTGGTCGTTTAGAGGAGTCAAAAAATGCGTCTTTGCAGTTGTGTAGAAAGCTCAATGTGTTATCGCGTATTTGTTTCCATCACTGCAATTGTGTCTTTTCCATGATATGTTGTCATCTCGGAACTTGTTTTTGCTATGCGGATGTGTTTCGAATTTACCTTATCCTGAACCACAGGACCTACGTTGAACTTGTTTAGGGCTTTCTTATGCAGATGATAACGCCTAATAGATTACCTTCGTGTGTGGAAGAGAGCCTCTCAGAAGACGTGAACGAATGGAGCCGCCTTGCCCTATTCCAACTCCTGCATAAGCATGCTGGCAAGGCATGGTCCTCATTCTAACCCACTTTCATGATGCAGAAGAATTTTGCATCCAATTCCAAAAGACGTTGCTGAGAATGTTAGTTGCTTCACAACTGAATTTGTTTAGTTTTTGCTCTAGAAGTACATATGTATGTATGTATGTATGTATGTATGTATGTATCAGATGGTAATCTGTGGCCTGTATTGATCTGTTTCGTGGGAATGCAGGCATCGCCTTGGGAGCCATACATCAGATGTTTACCTCCTCTGCGGGGTCTTCAAAATACCGTAGGTCCTCTCGTATATTGCATTTTCTGTGTGGAGAATGATGTTCTAAATCTTCTTAGAAAGTTCATTATATGAACAGATGACGGCCACTCCCTATTAGAACAATCACATAATTTAAACTCGCGAAAATGAATGGTCAGTTTTTTTCCCTTTTGATTTCCAACTTTGTCGTGCACTATCCTACTTGTGTGCTCTGTTTCACCTTCTGGCTCATCTAGTGGACTTTCGTGGCAACGGTTCATTAGAATTTGATTCTCAGGTTATATGACTCTTCAGGTGTTTTGGAGGGACGAGGAACTGGAATTGTTGCGTCAAAGTAATGTGTACGACCAAACAGAGCATCGGAAGACACTAATTTCAAACCAATTTGACCTCGTTCAAGCAGTGAGTACTAATCATGTTGATTGCTTTGGAAGAGGATGTGTGGAGTGCATGTCAACGAATTTGTAACTACAGTGTTGATGATTGTTAAGGTTACTTGCTAAATACTTTTTACCGGCACTTAGCATAGGTGAGATTAGTTGTGGGCATGTAGTGCAAGTTTTGTGGGCATGTAGTGCAAGTTTATGATATGAAATCCCACAAATAATTTGTTCGTAGATGCTTTTGTACCTCAAGTTGATCTGAGTGTGCTTTGGGTGTTCGTCTTTAGGTTGTGAACAAGTATCCAGAATTATTTGGAGAGACGGTGACGCTGGAGTCATTCAAGCATGCGTACTGCGTAGGTTTGTCTTGATAAAAAATAAAAAAAATAAAAAAATTGTTCTGTCCTGAAGTTTCATTTATGTTATTTTTATTTGCAAACTTAGCCCACATCTATATAGGATCGTAATGTTTGTCGCCAATGTTAAATAGAGGCGCCAAAACATCTTCTTCAGTGTAGGCATTACGTGAACTCAAGACTGTGGAAGGAAGAGCGGATCAAATTTGATATCTTCTAAGGTTCTGAACATCTGTCATCTTTTCAGCGAGTTCACGATCATGGGGAGTTGAGGCACTCGGTTCAATAACAATGGTGAGCATTTGTCGAAGCATTGTATTCAACCCCCAACTGTCAATCTTAATGAGGTTTTTGTAAGGTTGACAAGTCTACCTTACTCTGTCAAGGTACCATTCGTGGACATGTTCAACCATGATTCCAGCGCTCGCGCTCTGTTGGCGTATTACGAGGAGGAAGGGTATGCTGAGGTACACTATCACTGCTGCTCATATTCTGTCCTGTAATCCTTCATTGATTTTCTCTGCCGCAATCTCGTCTGAAAGCTCTTCTCTCCTTGTGGATATGATGAAATATATATATATATATATATATATATATATCATTTCAATATCACACGCTTTGCTCAACAACCGTACAGCTTGCGGATTGATCCGTAGACTTTTGTTATACATCAACTCACACCATTTTCATATGCTACTGCAGGTTGTAGCAGATAAGGATTACAACCAAGGCTCTCAGGTATAGACTCCCACACTCAACTCACTCTTGCTGCTGTTCAATCTACCAGCGTCAAACACGACATTGTCTTTAGGCGAAAAGCTAGTTATGGTGCGTGCTATCGTTCAGGTCTAGGATACTTGTACCTGTATGAGATTAAATTTTTGTAGGAAATTTTATTTTGGTACCATCTTGTAAATATGAAAATATGAAGATGTTTTTGTATTTTCGCATAGACTAGATATTGTGCTGGTCATAGATTATCCATGCTTTCGTGTGTTGTTTGCTGGGTACAATGATTTCAGATCTCAGTTACCATGCCTCGGGTTTGCACAGGTGGTCATCACATATGGAACTTTACCAAATTCCTCTTTGGCTCTGGATTTTGGGTTTACGCTCCCAGACAACCCACATGACGAGGTTAGTACAGCCCACACCAAGTATTAGTGGAACATGTTGGTTTGACAGTGGTTTAACGATCGAGTCGTATTTATTTACTTAAGTTTATTCGATTCCTTAAAAGTGTTTGACATGAGGACAAGCAGGTTCAAATCTGGATGGAGGCGCCGAGCGGAGATCCTTTGCGAGCCGAAAAGCTGAAGCTTTTGCGTGATCATGGCATTGCAACCGACCCGTTTTGTGATGGCACGGAGAGTGGTGGTGCTTGGTTTGGTCTTAGGTCAGAACTTTTCACAATTGCCTCAAATCACACATTTATTTTTTCACTTGCACTGGCGACCCCTTGATAGATCAAGTAAAAGCTGCAGTCGGTTGGGATGCTATTTCTTAGTATTTAATTTCAGCCTTCGAGTTCAATGTAGTGTAAGTTAGTACTAAGATAGCTGTGTTGGAATATAGAGAAATATCGTCTCCTGCAGCTAGAGGTAAAGGTATCCCTCGTGCATTACGCACGTTTGTTCGAGTGATCTCCGCAAGCACTACAAAAGGTACTCTGCAGGCTGGGCATTATTATTAATTCTTTCCCTTCTATTACAGTTTTACCTGCTTGGTTCGATGAATTGATCACCAAAGCAGTGACAAAATGACTAGAAAAAGATACCTCGAGTAATTCAGCTACACCAGCACCAGTCAGCACCGGCAATGTCTAACATGTAAACCATTAGTGTTACAGAACTGGAGGCTATGGCTGAAGATGCAAAGAGAAGACAAGGTCGATTAGCTCAAAGGCCCCTGAAGGACGGCAAGGAAGCACGAGCTCTGAAATTACTTCTAGACAACATCGAGCAGTGCGTCTCGTCTCATCGCTCCGCTCTCAAGGTAACACACGTACTAAAAATCGCATTCCACATTAATCAAAGTAACAAGAGATGTTCAAAGCTCTGTTACTCTAGCACCTCAATAACATCACCGAGTTTCAATTGACCATACCTGGCCAGAACATGACTAGACGATGGTGTCCCTTTCGTTTTTGTATTGGATACAAGAGTTCCTCACTAAAGCTTTTTTCCTCACTGTTGCACACTAATCAGAAAGTGTTGAAGGCACAAGACTTACCACAAATCCAAGCTGAACGCGCGCGGATGGCAGGACATGTGCTTGATGGAGAGCTCCGAGTGCTGCGCTCTGTGGGCGCATGGTTGCGGCCTCGAGCTGAGGGAGGAGGCTATGAATCACTGGGTCTAGCATGAAAGAGGAACCCATAGTGTATTGTTTGCTTAAGAAACACTCCCACTGCAGCACCATGACAGCAACAGAGGAGGTGCCCTTGATACTGCTCCCCTTCTATATTCTTATAAAAAGCCCCACTTTGCTGAGCTTCATGAATGCCTCACTTTGCAAAACTGCATGAAAGCCTAAAACATACTGCTGTGGATGGAAACTTACTTTAGACTGATGAGTCCAGACAAGGTGGGTTTTGAAAGAAACCACAATCCTCAAGGAAAAAGAACAAAACAAAAACAGTAATCACCCGTATTCATGTAGAAGATAATTTTAGTGCTACCACCACATGAAATATTTCACATGTGTTGCAACGAAAAGTCTTGTAAAGAACTGAAAGGGTATGGAATTTTGATGATTTAGAACATGGGTGAAGTTGATTAGAGAGGTTTTAGAAATTGTGAAACAATGTCACCTGGTTAGAGATTTAATCGGTGTTGGTTAGTTGGGCATGTGGAATGAACGTAGTGTGAATGGCTTTACTTGTCTTTTGAAAGAGACATTACAGACATAGCTAGCTATGTTGTGACATTTTTAAAGTTTTTTGTTTGTTTGTTTGTTTCTGGTCAGGAGGGTTTGAAATTATGTTATTTTGCATCCATGCATAAAATAATGTCTAGCTTGAATTCGTTCTAAAGACATAGAATATTAGAATAATATGGACTTTGGACTTTGGAATATTAATTTGCTTAGAGTGTAACAATTTTGCTTCTATAAATTGTCATGCTTCAAACATTGTTATTATGTGGAAGTTACATATTTGCATAGTATTGAAAATCCCAAAATAAATAAATAAGTAAATTGTATTTACAGTCACAGCATATTAAATAAATGATGTGAAATACATTGAAAAAGATTATGAATGGCCAATCCTTACTGAAAAAACATAAAGTATGATACAGTTTTTTTCATCTTATGTAATAAAGAGTCAATAATATGCAACTTTTTGGGATAAATTTATTTGTTTAGAAAATGGCACAAATTAAACTGTAATGTCACAACATAGCAATTCATCTATCAATCATTGTTTATTTTTATTACCACCAAGGTAAAATTATAAAAATGTCAATATTTAATAAAAATTAAAATTATATAATACACTGCCAGTGTATTAAACATTACACTTCCATCAAATATAATCATGATTGTGGAATAAAAGATATTGATTCAATACAAGGTGGTTGCACATAGATAAATTTAAGAATAAATAAATATATATATATATATATATATATCATATTATGTATGATAAATTTAAGTTTTTTCGTCTAAATAAAATTTAAAAAATTTTAGATGGATTGTTAGTATAATTTTATTGTATAAATAGAGTTTTTTTTAGAATTTCTTTTCTGTTGTCTTTAAGGTGTTTATACTAAAAATATAACATGATATTTTTAATATTATTGAACTTTTTATTTCTTAAAATTTTAAAAGGATCTAATATTACCAAGGACTTTATTACTAGACTTCATCAATTTATGCTGAGAGATGGTAGAAAAGATACATTGACTTATTTGGAACCAAATTATGTTTAGATATTTTTGCATAAATATAAATAAAAGAATTCAAGCATAGATGGAATAACTTTCATGGACATGTTTGCCAGACTTGATGGGTGATTGGCTTTAAAATTGACTCTATTCTAATTAGCAACATTTAAAATAAATCTTAAAAATAATTTCTTGTTTAATTACAATTTTTTATTTAAATGGTTATAATTTTCTTTTAATTAATTTTAAAAAATTCAAATACAATGGCTCAAAAGTGTTGAATACTTTAAATTTAGGTTATATCAAGTCAACTTCAAAATTCATATTTAAAAGGCTTTAAAAAGTTTATTCAATTGATTTTATAATTGTAATGAAAACTAGTAATTTTGATAACATATATCTTCAAAAAATATATATATATATATATATATACACTAGCAAAAACTTGTATTGTTGGATACCACAATCTTTGGCACATCCATCCATTCCCTTGTTCATCCATGTTCTCATATTCTTTAGTTCCCTTGTTCCCATGTTTAGCCAATTAGAAGCCTTCTTTGTTTCTTTGTGTTATACCTATGTTGCTTTACTATATTGATAGATATATCCTTTTGTGTGTTTTTAATTGTATGTAAAAAGCTTCTATAATGAATCTTCTTAAGCTCAATTGAAATTCAATCTATATAATCTATGTTCCATCTTATCAAATCATTAAGTAATATTATTACAAAATTTTAATAAAAATCTCTAAACTTTGAAATAATAGATATTTATTGAATAAAAAGCTATTCTCATATATACATTTAAGGTGTAGATTTATTAAGTTATATCTTCATAAAAAAATTCAAAACTATATTTGTACTTGTATCATAATCATTACATTTTATTCAAAGATTAAAAATATTTTATAACCTGTTGATCTAGTCAACTAGTGTGATATTTGCACTATGAGTAAAATGTATTTAAAATTCAATAGACATCCTCAGATTTGTAAAAATATTTATTTAAGTTGCACCATTTTTGGAATGTAACTATGATTTTTATAAGTGGTATTGCATAATCCTTTTTTTTTTTTTTTTTTTTTTTTGAATTGCAAGATGTAATTATATTTTTGTCTTTCTTTTAAAATTTTACCAGGACTAATCATATGTCAACATATTATAGTCAACAAAATTGGGCAATACATCATTATTTCTATTATATTGTAAGCTTTCCATTTGAACATTCAAATTATAAAGATTGTTTTTTATCCTCTTATGAGTCTATAAATATCCAACACTATCCAATTATTAATATATTTGTCATGCCATTAGTTACCATCACTAAACTAATTTGTTAAATAGGTGTGGCTCACTTGATTACACATTCCTATTGCAGAAATTGAAACATGATTTCCTTTTGGCCTTAAAAATCCAATGTCATGGATTATCCCATATTCTAACTATAAACAATATACACTTGAAACAATCCAAAGTTGTAATTAAGGTTTGCTCATATCACTCATTGTAACTTTTTGATTAAAAACGATGTCAAATGTAGCTATCAGAACAAAAGAAACGAAAGTCCACTCAAGATTCGAATTAGTGATATACTTTTGAATGACTTAGACTCAGATTGTGACAATAAAAGAAAAAAAGATATAGTACCCCACAATCACACACTACACTATCAAAACAATGGTTAATTTTATTTATTATTTATTATTTATTTTCCCCACATCTGTCGAGCAAAATAGCAGAGACCAAATCGAATCCTGAAATGTGAAACAAATTGCCTCTCAAATTTTTAATTTTAAGAATTGCAATACAGACAGAAACGTCGGATGGGATACTTTCGGTGGAGCAATGAAAAGCTGCCAAGTATACGCCTAATATAGAACTAACACGTGTGATAAGGGATGAAGACAACAGAGTTCATCCACATCAGGCATCCAAAAGAGGATGAGGGACAATCAGCTGAGGTGGACAGGGGGGGGAGTAGTTCCAGTGCAACTGCGATTAGTTTAGGGTTTTGTTCCAGGCTCCCTCTTCTCCCACGGACGTGATTCATCGAAGTTTTGGTGTCGGATTCTGATCAAGTCCACTGGCGAATTGTGACTTAGGGTTCGGGTCTTGCTCAGGAATTTTGCTGCATTTCTTCCCCTACGCTGCGACAGTCCGACAACACGGAGACCGTATACCTTAAGCAAGACCAGACGTGATTCTGGCGTGAATTCTGATTTTTATTTTTATTTTTATTTTTAAAGTTTTCAATAAACAATGAACAATAATTTAGGTGTTTGAGTATAGTGAGATTTTTTGAGCTGTTCGATGTGGTCGAATCCTGTGCCCGATCGAGATTACTTAGTGTTCAGGTCTTGTAGAGCGCGCAGTTCATAGCCTGTGCTTCGGAAACTGGTCAGGTCTTAGTGAATCTTGAAGGCGATGTCGAAATCTGGCCCCGAAAATGGTAATGACTTCGAGTCAGGGATCGGGGTAGAGCGAGTGGTGGAGTTGGAGTTGAAGCAGGAATTGTATTTGGAGATGAAGCAGGAATTGTATTTGGAGATGAAGGCTGGAAATGAGTCGATGCTGGTGCAGGAGCAGCCCGCACCGTCGTTCAAAGCCCTGAGGCGTCTTGTGGTGAACCCCGACGACCCTCTACCCGCTGGTCCTGTGGGGGTTGATTACGGTGTTTTGGAGAATGGACTTTGTTACTATGTGCGCAAGAATGCGAAGCCAAAGGAGCGTGCTGCCCTGGCGCTCGGGGTTAGAATTGGGTAAGCAAACTAGAAAATATGCGTTGGCAATCGCAACAATTTTCGGGTCCATTAGCTGAGTTTGTAGAACCGATTGTTATGTGCGCTGTTTTAGTTGATTTTAGTGTAAATTTCTGATTCAAGAGCAGTACTGATCGGGGATCTGGGCTGGTAGTGTATAGGCTAAGAACTTCAGGAGTGCAGTATTTATTGTGTGCATTGAAAATGAACAGTTAATTGCGTGACGTACGTGCATAGCTTGGTATACATGCAAAAAGCTGGAGTAAATCCTGTGCTGCTGCCTGTGACGATTGTTCGTTTTTTCAGTTCATTTTCACATGAGTAGATCACGGTGGAGTGGTTTTTATTACAATTGTGCCTTCATGAGATCATGGGCGAATTTCAGTCTCTAGTCACTTGGAAAGTGTTGCTAGTCAGTTAGAAATATCTGTGGTTTGACTTTGCCTATTTTACTCGGCGTAGCAGGGAAACTATTAGGGAATTTGTAAGTATCACGGATTTAATCTACGTTTTAGATTTGAGGGTTCTATTGTTGGATTACAGGTCTGTTCTGGAGGAAGAGGAAGAGCGAGGTGTTGCACATATTGTAGAACATTTGGCTTTTAGTGCCACCCGGAAGCACACCAACCACGACATCATTCGCTTTTTGGAAAGCATCGGGGCTGAGTTTGGGGCCTGCCAAAATGCGTCGACATCACCTGATGAGACTATTTACGAACTCATGGTTCCAATTGATAAGCCCGAAATATTATCCCAAGCGCTCAACATTCTTGCTGAGTTCAGTACTGAGGTTAGTGATTTCTCAGTGTAATAGCGGCTAGATTGTGATCATTTATATTCAGACCCAAGCACGAACCAAACTAAGATGGATAATCACTTTGTTCATATACGCTGCTCGTAGTGGTTCGATTTTTTTGACGTGCTCTGTGTTTTTAGCCCGCATCGCTGAAGTATTATACTGCAGTTTTTAGTATTTCTCTATCTACCAGTTGCTTACAGCTGATTGATGTGAAATTGCATGTGTAGATTCGAATATCTGATGAGGATCTTGAGAAAGAAAGGGGTGCTGTTTTGGAAGAATTGAGGGGAGGGAGAAATGCAATGGGTCGCACACAAGAAGCGCATTGGTTGCTGTTGATGAAAGGCTCTCAGGTATGCTCACGTGCCTTACGTATTTGATTAATCTAATTTTGTCTTTGAATTTGTCCTTTCAATCATCAACAATCTTTCACTGATTTCTCTTTTACAGAGTGAAATTGGCTAGTCCGGTTTAAATTAATGGGGCATCAGTGCCTCTATCTGTATGTGTGTTTGTTTAAAAATGAATCAAACCTATTAAACAGTTGACCTCACAAATTATTTTGCATTATAATTACAGTTAAATTCACAAGATTGCTTTTCATTTCATTTTTTTTCTTTTTGCTCTTTGTTCTGTTAACCGTTCGTCAAATGTGACCTTAATGCTTCCCGACAACAAGAGTGGATAGATTGAATCTACAGGTTGAAGCTGGTTCTTAGAGCAAATCCTCATTAGTAGAATTGGGTCACCTTCTTGATGCTTTATTTGAACGTGTTTTCATAGACTGCTCTCGGCGTACTTGACACCATTACAGCTCTTCATTCATTAAGAGGTGGAATGATTATCTGAATGATATTCTTGCAGTATGCCAATCGGCAACCAATTGGATTAGAGAAGGTTATAAAAAATGTTACTGCGTCGCGTGTCAAAGATTTTTATCATCGCTGGTATAGACCTGAAAATATGGCCATTGTTGCAGTTGGAGACTTCCATACTACTGAGGTACTTATCAGTACTTCAACTCATTTGTTCAGTTTTGGAATCTGGTATTCACTTTCACTTTCGTTAACTTTTATGATATGGACTAGTACGTTTTATGTGCTTCATTCTTTTGTCATTCCTTAATCTTCATTCAGATTTTGAAGAGAAATTTTGTTGTTTGGTAAATTGCAGAATGTAGTGGAGCTCATCAAACAACATTTTGGGGAAAGAAAACCACATGCTGTAGACAATAATTTTCCTACAATTCCAGCGTTCTCTGTGCCCTCACATGAGGAACCTCGTTTCTTATGCTTTGCTGAAAAAGAGGCTGGCGGAGTAAGTCAGCTTTATCTCGTTTCATCTAATTTCGTAATCAGATATTTGCGTAGATCCATATTGTGGAAACTGTTAAATGTTGAGGGATCCGGATCATGAACTGGGCCACTGAGTTAGTGTGTTCACATGTGACCAGTCTGCCGTTATGATTAGCTGCAAGGTTCCTGCAAAACAAGACACAACAATCAAGGATTATCGGTTTATGATTGCGGAGCTGATGTTTCATAGCGCTTTGAATCAAAGATTCTTTAAAATCTCCAGGCAAAAGAATCCCCCTTTTTTTTACTGCATCTCATCCAGCGAAAATTTGGTTCGTCCTGTAAAAGCTTATATTATGACAGCCAACTGTCAAGAGCGCGGGACATTACAAGCATTGGAACAGATGCTTACAGAGGTAAGGCGTTCCACTCCATCCACGTCAAAAGTATACGAGAAAGGTCATGGAGGCCTCTTTTCTAGTGTAAAGTTGTTTTCTAATACTCTAGGTGATGCTATTTACAGGCCAACAATCGGAGACTGTTTGTGGTGGTGTTTTTTTCTTTTTTTTCTTTTTTTTCTTTTTTTTTTGGAAGTTTTCCTTTCATTCATATTTTAAAGCTGAAACATTTTAGATGTACCATGTTCTTCAAGTGATTTATTGGTTATTTATTATTTTACGTTAGCAGTTATTTCTACCTGTAACATTTCCGTGATAGCATATTCTTATCTTTATGATTTGTGTCGGTTTGACAAGGTTGCAAGAGTTCGCCGGTATGGGTTTTCTGAGCGAGAAATAGCTCTTGTGCGTGCACCCCTAATGGCAGATATTGAATCGGCATATTTAGAAAGGGATCAGATGCAGTCTACAAATTTGCGTGAAGAATATTTACAGGTACAGGTTACTATGTTTATTGCTACATTATTTTAATATTTATTGTCAGCGTTTCACATACTAGAGTGCCTGTGAAAACACTCTTTTAGGGAAATTTCTGTATAGGTTAGTTATTGGTCGTACCCATACCTAATAATAGGAGCGTTGAAACTCAGGGTAAGTGATTAGTCTCATGGCTTAAAATATTACCTCGTTTTTTGATTGCCGTGGGACCATACTTCTGCTGATAGTCCTTGGATTAACAATATCGATAACTTGATAAATTTGCGCAACAGCACTTTCTCCGAGGCGAGCCAGTACTTGGCATTGAGTACGAAGCGCAGCTTCAAAAAACTTTGATACCAGGTTTGTGTCCATTGATCTGTTGTTAGTTGATCCGAACATAAATGTCGTGACACAGTAGGAATTAATTTGAAGGTAATACAAATCTCCTGTAACTTTATGCATGACGGAGTGTTAACAAGTAAATATTTGAAATTTTATTCGCCAGACATCTCAGCAGCTGAAGTAGCAAAAATTGCGGAGTATTACCACGCCAAGTGTAACTGTGTTATCAAAACGCTAGAGCCGCGTGCACGTTCAACTGAAAGAGATTTAAAGGCTATTTTGGCAAAGGTTCAGGCACTTGAGGGTGGAGACATTGCTCCATGGGACGAAGAACATACTCCTGACTCTATTGTGGATAAATTGCCAATACCAGGGTACAAACCTTTCTTTTTTTGTCTTTAACAAGCATTTTCTAAGAACTTAGTCACAATTCCGAATTCTTCAGGTATATTTTGGAGAACCTGTAGATGCCTTAGACACCTTTCGAAGGTTGACTTGGCGAATCTTGCATTTACCTGATTGGTGTGGTGTACATATCAATTCCGTAGTCATTGCTGATTTGGTGTGGTTATCTTGCTCTTTCGGTAGACGAAAACCAACTTTTTTGTGATGGTTTCAAAATCCTGTGCTTGTATGTACAGTGAAGTGGTTCAATCGAAGGAGTTTCCAGACATTGGTGCTACAGAACTGATATTGAGCAACGGGATGCGTGTTTGCTATAAATTCACAGAGTTTCTAGAGGATCAGGTCATTAATCTCTTTCGAATATCTAAGTTTTTGCGTTCATTACCTTTTGACTCATCTTTAAGGAGATTTTGTAACATTTTCTTTTTCTGTTAGCAGAAGTGATTTGTCTTGCTAAAGATTGTATTGGTCTCCGAGTGGTTTCTGGTGGTTTCAGGTGCTCATAAGTGGTTATGCCTATGGCGGTCTCTCTGAGGTCGACAAAAGCGATTTCCTCTCTTGTTATTTGGGTTCAACTATTGCTGGTGAAATTGGTGTTTTTGGGCACAAGCCATCAGTTCTACAGGACATTCTAGCAGGCAAACGTGCTGAAGTAAGTACCAAAATAGGTGCCTACATGCGCAATTTTTCTGGAGATTGTTCTCCAACTGACCTGAATGCAGCTCTTCAGGTATTGTAGTCTTAGATGTGCACTCCTTTGTTGTATTCAGATAATCAACTAGTTTATTGTTTTTATGTGAATTTTTAATCTCTTAATACTATAATATTCTCAATTTGTAGACTCAATGTTTATTTGCCCCCTTGGCATTTGCAGCTTGTGTACCAACTATTTGTAGCTGAAGTTGAGCCCGCTGATGAAGAAGTGCAACTTGTGATGCAAATGACACTTGAAGGGATCAAAGCCCAAGAACGAGATCCATTCACTGCATATTCAAATAGAGTTCGTGAACTTAATTATGGAAATTCATATTATTTCCAGGTTGGTAATCTCACTCTAGCGTGAGGGAAACTGCGATCTGATTTGATATAGTCCTGTAAAGTGGTATTAAACGTTTTCTCTTACTTCTTGGTGTTATCTCAAACTGCAAGCCACTGCCAGAATTCTGAAAGATAGTTGATTGGTACTTGTGCAGCCAATAACAGCTAAAGATCTTAACAAAGTTGATGCGAAAAGAGCTTGCCAATATTTCAATAGTTGTTTCAAAGATCCATCTGGATTCACCGTGGCTATTGTTGGAAACATTGATATTGAAAAAGCCTTGCCCCTCATACTTCAGTACTTGGTGAGATGTCATTAATAAGTCCATGCCTTTCATTGGGTTACATCATCTATTATCTCTAGTATATTGTTTATGCCGGTCTTTATTCTTAGACTTAAAACATGTCTCTTATTTTGTATGTTCGCTGTCTTGCATCATACGACACGACGTAGGGTGGAATTCCAAAGCCAGAAATTCCGGTGATGATCTACACACGCGATGAACTGTCAGCTCTCCCCTTCACTTTTCCTGCTCAAGTTGTGAGGTATGAGCTCAGCATCTTGATGTCTATTATCATACTCAAGAATGTTGCTTGAATCATTAAACGTTGCTGGAGATTTCTTTGTCGAGCTTTATTTCAAATGAATTTTTCGTTTATTTTTCTGAATTGGCTAAACTTGGACTTACCAGAGAAGAAGTGCGGAAGAATATGGTGCAAGCCCAGTGCTCAGTTCAACTTACATTTCCGGTTCAATTGAAAGGCCTTGATGTGGTAAGTTGTCATCTTTTCAAATACAATATCTAGTAGACGCGAGGGGTAACTTCAAATACTGTTAAGAAAGCAAACGTGCTTACTATATCTGCAATGCTTTCCCTTCAGATGGAAGAGGTCCACTACACATGCTTCATCTGCAAGTTGCTGGAGACCAAAATTATGCAAGTTTTGCGCTTCAAACATGGCCACGTATGTTGAAATATCCCCACCTACATTGCGCTTTCGTGTTCAAGTAATTCTGTGCATATGTTTGGTTGGGTTTGAGGTTAGGATAAGCTAAGTGCGAGATGATTGTTGGTTAGACTTAGTTGCACGATGATCCTTAAATAGATTTAAGAAATGTGAGCTGGCTAGAGAGGCAGCCAAATGGGTTTAAGCCGCTCAAGGTTGGCGCCTACATCTTTACGGAGTCGGTGGGGTTAGGCTCACTTTCATTGCACCTGCAGGTATATTCTGTGTCAGTGTCCGCGTTTCTGGGAGGGAGCAAGCCGTCAAGATTTGGGAACGTTCGTGGTGAAGTTGCTGTCAGTTTCTCTTGTGATCCTGATGTCGCATGGAAATCGGTAAATCCTTCTCTAATTGATTATTCATATACAAACGAATCTTTGTTGGTGTTAATTTTAGATTGATCTCTTGTTTCTTTTTGTGTGTGATGGTGTTTGAATAATTATTCTGCCAACTTCAACCACTCTGGGTGTTCCGGCTTTCTAAGTGACCTTGTTAAGGCAAGTTTGTGCACTGAAAATGGATAATTTTCCTAGGTTGATATTGCTTTGGATGAAGTGAAACGGCTCCAGGAGGAAGGACCAACTGCTGAAGATGTATCTACAATCTTAGAGCTTGAGCAGCGTACCTATGAAATTGGACAGCAGGTCCGACAATTTTACTCAGATTGTTATATTTTCTGTGAGATTTTCTTGCGACTTGTCTGTTTTAATGTAATAAACCAAATGTACCGTCATGATGTGAATGGGTGAGTATTTTTGAGTTTGAAGTAACATGCTGTGTTTCTACAAGTGTGTTTTCAACATATTTTTAATGTTTATTTTTGAGGTTTGATTGGTGGTATTCAGGAAAACGGCTACTGGCTGGACCGACTCTTACGTGCCTACCAGTCTCGAGCCTATTCCGGAGATCTCATTCACTCAATGCAGGCAAGGATCTGATCAATCCTTCATGAATTGGTTCCGAATATCTATGGATTGGTTCCGAAAATGTTTCATTAGACTATGTATCGGTTGTGCTTTGTTTCTCGAGTCGGGTAGGAGAGACCAGTGCTTGAGGGTGAACGCGTAGCTTGTAAAAGTTATGCTGAAGATTTTGTTTGCAGGCTCAAGAGCAATGGAGAAATGCAGTGAGATCGAAGGCAACGGCTGTGACAATGAAAGATGCACTTTGTCGTATACTCCCTGTACCATGCAAAGAGCATTATACTGCTGTTGCGTTAATTCCGAGGGCTTCGCGATGGCAGCAGCTCCTTACCAAGCTTGTTATCACGGAGCAGGACCTAAGTGCAGAGAGCAAGGTAATCTTGAAGCAATCCTGTCTTCTAATTTTTTCTGATGTCTTAAGTTAGCTACAGTCTTCCTTCGTAGGTCAAACCCTTTTAGCGAAGATTTGATTTTCTAAAATTTGTTCGACTTTTTGGATATTTTTTCATTCAATTCTTTATATTTATTTTCTTTTATTTTTTTATTTCGTATTGACTGTCTATGATTTACTGATATTTGTATCCATTCGCAGTTTTACAAGTTACATCCCATACAAATAGGTCCCTTCTAGTATAAGTATAGCCTCTCTGCATTGGTGGAGCCAAGACGGAATATATGTCTAGGCAAGCTGTTTTAGGTTTTGCCAGTTTGGCCTGCTTGGATCTTTATATGAAGAGAAACTGACTATCCTTATTTGAATGTCAGGTAGCATTAGCGGCAGCTGGAATTGTTTTTATTGGAGCTGCCTTTTGGAAATATACCGTTCGACGATGAGGTACACCACAACATGCGTAGTATGCCGAACTCGTAACGCTTCTATTTTTTCACAAGCTGTGCCACTCAACCCCTCACGTGGATGTCAGTATTTGCTCATTCTCTGCTCCACTAATATTGGAATCAAGCGCTGTAGGCTGTAAAATTCTAGATGTTTTTCATTTGTAGCGATACCAATGAGCTTTGCTAAACTGTACCTTCTGTGGAGAGTCTTACAAATTGGAGGGGTTCCGGGGCTGATTTCTGGCTTCCATTAGAAGATTGACGTGTATAGGAGTGGGTTCAAAATAGCTGCTCCTTAAATTTAACATCCAGTTTTTTTTTTTTTTTTTTTTTTTTTTTTTCCATTTTCTCTGCAAATGTAATTGCTGCGGAAATCGCATCTGTGCTAGGAATTTAACAGCGTCTTGTATCTTCATCATTTTTTGTACCTCTACGTCTCAAGAGTAAGAGGATAAGTCAAGTTGCTCCTTCATTGCGTTGACCTTTAAAGAGGTCTTGTTCGTTTATAACCACTATGTAGTGTACATGAAACTTGGTAATTTCATACAGTTGTCTGCTGGATTGTTGTATATGCTACAGCATGCTAGAGATAGAGGTCGTCCTTAGGAATATGGTGTGATTTACTTAACAATCTTCACCGAAGTCACGTAGTCTACTCTCTCAACTTGATGAACCACTTATTTGGGCGCCTTGCTTTTTCTTAGATTTTTTAGAACAAGTTCAATTTTAATTTAAGTCAACTGCATAGTTGCGGTACATAATTAAGGAGTTATTTGGCCATGTATCACTTTATTCTTGTTGTATTGAATTACAATAGTTTGGACCTTATACAACAAAGATTGCTGAAAATGTAGTCATTTAATAAGATTTCGGCACCCACCTCGTATCTTTTCAAACTTGTGTGTGGGTTGAAAACATCATTTTAAGGAATGTCAGTCCAAACACATGGGTAAAAATTTGAGATTTTGTGTACTTGAGAAGTTATTGTTACTTCCAATGGCATTCTGGAAATGTTAAGGTTTCTTGACATTGCAAATAATGATGATGAATTGTTATACATCCATTAAACTTTACTCAATTCAATGTAGCGTTGAGGATGGTGTCTGACGTTCAAGAGTGTTGGTCTCTTTTTGTCTTCATTTAGGAACGGAATACATCTGTTCGCAAACGAAAGGCGTGGGTGAATTCGAGACTGTTGCATGTATATCGTCATGTTATATAAAGAGCACTAATCATTGACTGCTAGTTTTCGTTCGATTGCGAGCTTCGTTTCGTAAATCTGCAGTATTTGAGCATAAACAATCATTGTTTACAAGGTGGATGACGTCGTTCTACTAACTGGAATGCAGGGATTTTCCTCATGTAGTGAATTGTGGTAAATGCCAACGTCACTGGAAGTACTTCAGCTGTTTTTTAAAATGTCGCAAAAATACTTGCTCGCTGGGTGTTCGCTAGTGGTGCAGAAAACTTCTGAATGTATCTTGATCTTTCCAGCACACTTTCATACACAAGCTCAAGGATTAGGAATTGTACACTCTCCATTGAAACAAGCTTATTATCTACAATTGATTTTATCAAGGCACCCAAATCCATGTAACTTCTAGGCCATGTTAAGGCATATCGCTCACTCTCAGCCTGAAAGGAATCTGCTTTTGTCAGTCTTCATCACCCTCAGCAACATGGATTGCAGGATTCAGCCCTCTCAATCCTTGAGATATACTGTCTGTCGCACTCAAGTTTACCCACAGAATTATGCACCGTACGATGTGCCCAAAATTTAAAACATTGTGATGAATTTGGATGGTAGTTTGCGAGGGACTCATTAGAACTGCTACATTTCAACATGGATCTAACAAACTAGACCATCCTGAATCAGCACCACGTTTCCGTCTAATCTACCATCACTCTCTCATCGCAGCGAAATCCACCTTCGAATTAGTGCGAACGCGTTTTTCCTGTGGCTTCGCACGATGCCACTCCCCCGCTGAGCCACCTCGTCTGCTCCACGTCACCTCAACGACGTGTCAACATGAGCTCGTCCAAGTCAGCCCCAATGCCATCTCATGCTTGTGAATCATCATGACTTTTCCATGTCATGCTCATTGCTCCACGTCACCCTTGATTGAAATTAGGGTTTGAGTAAAATGCAATTACCACGCTAATGCGGCGAAAGATAGAGGTGGCAATTTGCATTAGAAAATGGCGTAGTTCCTACAATATCTCTCCTGAGCGCAGCGAACGGACCTGGATTGGAATTTAAGTGAGTTGGATGAAGTTAACGAGAGTGTCGTAAAACTTCGTGGGAGGGTACCAGGTACCAGTTTCGAGGCCTTAGCATATAAGCATCACGCGTCTTCAAACGCATTCATTCTCTTCTGAATAACTGAGTTTCAAGGGCGCATCCTAGGTTATCTCTTGGTGTTCACAAAAAATGAGTAGTATCCTGTGTAATTCATATACGAACGAATTAGAACTGCGCCGCCACTAGCATTGTGTGAGTGTCATTGTGCCAGTTTTTAACACTGATTTGGAGAGCACTCGTCATTCATGTAATAGAACTAGCCTACAATGATAACGATAATCTCATTGCAATATGATTACCATAATCGGGCTGATGAATACTCTTAGTTTGATACGCGATGTCCAACATTGTTGATAATTATGGGCTCCTGATATCCTCGCAAGGGTAAGCTAGTGCACATGCACACAGAATCTTTGCGCACTGTGAGAGCCGATGGGCTAAGACACTGCAAGCTCGTGACTCAACATTATCGAATCGGTTGAAAGCCAGCAGTTTATGTCTCCGGTGTATGCTCGGGTATTATTAGACATTCGAATGATGCGAGGACTGACCCAAGGTTTAGGAGTTTTTTTAAAGTTGTGCGATCTTCTAAAAATGTTAGGTTGCAGCACGGTGGAATCGAGCGAGCGGTGCGCAGTTAGAAGTGGTTGATGGGGTTTTCATCGACTCAGCTACCACAAAGTAAGGCTTGAAGATAATTCGCACGGAAGGCACCATGGATACCAATGGTGTTGAGTCCATTGCCAGGTGCTGTGTTCCTGCTGTTACCCAGTGCACTCAGATTTTATGGCATAACTAGGATGAGGTTGCAATCACGAGTATTTCTTCATTAGTTTTGTGGAGTTGAGCTGGCTGTCTCCATCATCTGGATCATGCCATTGCAAAATCGCAAGGAAGAAACCTTCACATTGGTATGCAGTACCTGTTACTGTGTTTGCTGTGTATGAGATAAAACAAAAAATGACGAAGGAACTCCAAGACACCAGAAGATTGAGCATAGTTTTGTTCTGGAGCTGATCAGTGAGTACCCAGTGCATTCCAAGTTGTTGAACTGCAAAAATGAGCATAAATTCAGTTTCAGAATCTCTTAAAGAATTTAGTTTTGGCCTTCCAGGGATTGCAGCTCGCCCCTATGAGCAGCGCTCGCACATCTCAGTTTGATGTACTGGCAGAGAGACGATCGTGATTTTATAACCGTTTTGCAATAGAATTTTATTATCTGGTTCCATGTGGTTATATTAAAGACATGAAATTTAATCTTCACTGTGTGTGTGTGTGTATATATGTATATATCTATATATATAAACAAGGATTTTTTCAAAATTTATCAAATTAAGTTTTAATTTCTTGAGAAAAACTATGTACTAAAATTCTATTAAAATACAATGCTAAACATGGAAAAAGCAACAATATTATTTTAGCCTCTAAATTTGTAAGAAACCTATTTAGCTAAAATAAAAAATAGTCAGTTTTTTTATTTTAATAAAGAATCTAATTCTTAATCATTATCACACGTTTAGAAATGTTTTGGTCTTTTCTGGTATGATTTAATATAAAAATATATATTTCAATGTATTAGAGAAATAAACAAAGTTAATTTAGAAGAAGAAGAAGCACTATTACTAAAAAAAAATTAAATGTAAAAATATTGAACTTTTTTTTAACTTTTCATTTGTCTTTATTTTCAACGTATTCATTTTTTATTTTATTAATAAAAATTATAAATTTTGGATTTTTGAATAAATGTATTTTTTCGTATTTTATATAAGGCTATTAATTTTATAATAAAAAATAATAAGCATAGCTTTTATTTCTTGTATGGTGACACAATTGATAAAAGTACCAAATTTTTTGCCTGATATATGCAATAATAAATTGAAAAAATACAAACTATCTTTTAAAATCTTGCCAATGACATTAATATGTTGGTTACTATTAGTATCAAAAACTCTTTTAGATGATTTTCTTTTGTAGAACTATATCTCTTTGAAACAACTATTGACATTCAACAAATAAAACTAATATTTTGCCTTTAATAATTGCTTAACTTTTTAAAATACAGCATAGTTAATTAAAATTTCTTTTCATGCTTGTTTGGTAATTTGCTTCTTTTTTTAGTTTATCTATCTCCATAATACTAACATACCAGAATAAATATATTTTTATTAATCTTGTAAGTTGTTTCATTAGTACAAAAAATTAAATTAAAAATTCTTTATTTTCAACTAAGAATATTTGAACTCTCACTATATTTTAGAAATAAGCTAAAAATGCCAAATTATATTTAAAATATAAAATTTAGAATTTTATAAATTTTTTATAACATAAATTAATTTTTGTGCAATGACTTATATATATATATATATATATATATACATGGTTAATGATGCTTGGTAAAATAAACTTAAAGCTCAGATTATCTCTTATAACTTAGACAAACATTATATAACTAACTTGAATCATATATATATTTCTATAATTTAAATTAAAAAGTAAAAATACCAATACATTATATTACATTGAAATAAATTAAATCATAAAACCACTATATATTTAAACAAGAATTTTTAAAAGAAATATTATATAATGTAATTACCTAATTACAACTAATTTAGCTATAAACAACTTCTTTACAAGATTAATTGCTTAAAATATAATTAGAAAACAAAAATCAAACAAACATAATAATATAGAAGCATGGAATATTTATTAACCAATTGCAATTCCAAATAACAAAACTGTGGTTTTTTATCAATTATTTTTATTCTAATCAATTATATTTGATTTATTATTATATTTCTTCATTGCCATATTTTATAACTTAGGTTTACATCATATTCGTTATTTAAATTCTTGTTTGGCAAAAATCTATGTTATATATAATAATTTCACATTTTTTTTTTAAAAAAAAAATCTCTAAAGATATTGAAATATATTTTATCTACATGTCTTATTGTTAATTTTATGCCCATCAATTAAAATAATTAAAAAAATATTTTTATGTATTTATGTATTGGTATGCTAATTTTTATTTTGTATTGTTATATATATTAATATTTTCATTTGATATTGCATATGGTATTATCTATTTAAGTTTTTCAAAACTTTAGATTTTACCTTTTAGATTCTAATATATATATATTACACGAGTAATCAAAATTATTGAATGTTTACAAGTGCCCATCTATTCCAATCAAATCAAATATTCATTTTTTATAACTCTTGTAAAGAAATTTTTATTAACTACCAATATTTCAAATCCAAATGTAAGATTCTTGCCAAATATACATGTGCATACATTTGATTTAGTTTATTTTTATTTTAAATTTAGAATTAAATGAGTAGTTATAATATAAAGTGATATCACACTAACATCAAAAAATATATATAAAAATAAAAATAAAAATAAAAACACAGAATTCTCATTTTAAAAAATCTTAGTTCATATGAAAATAAAACTGAAAATCTGGTATGTATCCTTACAAAAATCCAAGAAAGAATTAAATTTTAAGCATGTGAAGGCAAGCTAAATTTTAGAAAATTTAAAGGGGTTTGAAGAAAGCCATATTATGCTTATTGATTTTTCCCTAGCTAAACTTTTCATGTAATGTACAGTAATTTATTTAAATTAAGCTAATCAAACTTTCGTTAGTACATTTAATCTTATCTTATCTCAATTATATCTTGAAATAGTTTCAATCCAAAGCAAAATATAAACCGTAGTAACTTCATCCAAGAGATTAAGAACTGACCATCTGTAAAATATTGGGATGCTTATTGGTACTTGGTTCTTGACAAAGTTTCAAGCAATCATACGTCAAAGATTGTAATGATAATCATAATAATAATCATAATAAAATAGTATTTGGCATCATAATAAGATTGTTATGCGTACAATGCAAATCATGTTTCAATTGCTGCTACAACACTCCTCATGAACCCCAAAGTGGGTGCGAAAGAGGTTTCGAAGATTATGCGTTTCATGTTGTTGTAATATACCTTGTTAACCGGTTGCTAGTTTTCATTCGTGCTAATGTCGTTTTTATTGATGTATTCCCTTACTCCTGACGCACTGTTTCACTGTTCTGCAGTACCATGCTCATAGTTTTCTACCAATACAGAGCAGACCGCCAGGCCTAAGCTACATTGGACGTGTGACTTCAGGCCAGAATTGAGCCAGTGATTCCTGCGGTAGTTACACAAAAAGCTAATAGGGTAAATTGTTCCTTAGAGAATTATCACATTTTAAGGGGCTGAAATGCGGTCCTGATCATGAATGGACGTGGGCTTTCGGTGTCTCGACTGTGAAAAGAATTGCAATCGTGTCGCTGCACATTGTCTTGTCGCCTGCGTCTCCAACATAAGAAGTCTAGGCTGGCATAATTGAGGGAGTAGGTATCATCCTAAGTGTAGGTGAAGCACACGCGAATGTAGAAGTGCCCTTACAGCCTGAGTGAAGAACAAATGCTCTACTGTAAACCGAATAGACAGCTTAAGCAAAGCAATGGAAACGAGAAAACGAAGCTTGTATCATCGTAAAACAGCGAAGTTTTGGAATGACGATTAAGATGAGCATTGAATGAGGCTATTATTCAAAGACCATTGCATAGATCCAAAGTAAGGATCGATCATGTTACAATACCTTCAATACCCTTCACTTCTGAGAAAATGTTTCCCTCAAACAAGACTACCTATGCCTGTCAGAGCGATGCCATTCACTCACCCAAAACAATAAAACCCGCACCTGCAGTTTTAGGATATAGGCTAAACCCATTAATAGTCAAAAACCTAAACTGTCAAACTACGTGTTTCTACCCAAGCCACCACCCATGTCCTCAATATAAGAGTGATGCAGACTAGAAGCAGATGTCCCAGCTCTATAAGAGCCTCACAAGACAATCCTGACAGGTCTAAAAGATAACTACACTTTAAAGAAAAAAAAAAAACATTTCCAAATCAACGCTATGGCAATACTGCGGTGCGAAGATAAGGAAACTGAGACAGGCTTTGGACACCCGCCACCAACGATCACACTGCTACTTTCCCCTATTCTACTGCACAATCACCACTCTAATAAGAATTTCAAAAATCTCACAATGACATTCATAGCTGTAATGGAAATTGCCGAACAGCAATAAACATACGAAAGAGTATCCTTAACTAAAAGGATCATGTCAGGTAGTTAAAAGTGAAAACTAGGGCCGGAGCTATGACTTTTCACATATCAACAACTTACGCCACCCCTTGTTTACTTCTTAGCAGCGCCGCCTTGACCTTTGTCAGTCCACTTCCCGTACTTTTCCCTCATTTGCTCGGCCAGCTGCGTAGACTTTGACTCTTCTTTTCTAGCCGCTCGTTTATCGGCCTCTTTCGCCTCCTTGGCATTCATCGATCGAGTCATCTCAATATCTTCGTAGTAGTCGTTCAAATCGCAGCAATTCACGCATATTCCCAATGTCAAGACCGCACCCTACATACAGCACGCGAATTTTTAATATTTAACAACGCTGTAGACAAGTTCAAGTTACGAGCTGATCGAGAAGCCTCCATTCATAAATCACACTAACAAAATTACAAAACACCCTTCATTAACCGGCAGATTCAACTTGGATTCTTGTTCTAGTGAGTCATAGAAACAATAAATACAAGTAGCGACCTAATTCACCTGATGTGAAAAAAACTCCGTCTGGTGCTTCGAAATAAATATAATCATACATGCACCCATGCTTATCAAACTATTTCCATTGACCCGTTCACATTCACATATAGATTACCTGAACACAGCCCGTGAAAAATGTAACGGCACTCAACACCGTAAGGAGCGTCTTGGTGGTATCAACTTGGTATGTCGGCTTGTCCAACGCATTGCGAACTTGTGTAGGTCTAGAAAAGATTGCAAAGGCAGTCGCCAATAGACCAATCACAGAGAAGGCCAGTAGTACAAGCTGAAGCGTGAAACAACCTCGTCTAGTACTTGAGCAAAGACCTATTAGACCTGAAGCAATGGTGAAAATACCGGCAATGATAATAAGCCATGCTGCCCGGCTTGGCTGATTCTCAATGAGAAACATGAGGATAACTGAGGCAATGCCCCCAGTTAGAACAATCAGATTTAGAGTCAGGAGCAACGTCGTCGAGCACACAGCAATATGTCCTCTAAAACCTCGCCCCATTGCAGCCGATCTTTGAGTCAACTACCTGATACCACAAACACAACTCATTATTGTCTGAATTTCATGTTTGAACACACCAGAAATCACCTCAAGACATGACATGCACGGGTATTTTTTTTGAACACGTATGGAACCTGCAACTGTGACATTCTACAAAATCTGGAAACCAAACACGTGCATCTTATCTCGACACAGATTGTTCTTTGTCTGTTCACACGCGCATGCACTTGGGCATCTTTCCATGAGGGAGAGAGAAAAACAGTAGACTTGAACAGTTGGCAGGTAGCCTAGTCTCAAATCGCACCGTGACTTCTGGTTCTGAGTAAGCTCAACACTAAGAGGTTCCTCTCTACCTACGTCCTAGTGAACTTAAGATTTCTATGTGAGGAAAAGGCCAACGAAAACTCTACACAAATTTCAAAACAAAACACATGCAGCGATCACACCCTCCAAGTCGCATGCGATGCAGAGCGACACGGACACAAACAAATGAACAATGAGACCGTCCCAACATCAAACGGCTTTAATGTGTGTCTATTTCTCCAATGATACATTTACATTTGCACCAAACTAAGACCGCCTTTCTCTGTCCCATGCCACAAGTCCATTTAACACGGGAGACTCAAAGAGAAAGGTACTGCAAGAGGCCGCAGAAAACTGCGCGACCAACACGCAAGTTCCACGGCCTGTGTTCCCACTCAGTAACAAAATACCTTTACACCTTAAAGTATTTCTAAGAAATCGCGCAACAGTCCAAATGCCCTTAAAAGTAGCTCAGCCCATTCAGTGTGAGTTAATTTCTCCAAGGTAAAGTACAAAAACATGCACATTCAGTGCAAATCTCGCTGATGCTGAAACACTCTCCTCCACACTCCAGATCTCCATAAGAAGCAACACACCATACCTTCAATGATCCAAAGAATTCAACACGCACTCCACCCAATTATACCAGTAAAATAATATATTTAAAAGAAATTACAAAAATAGGCTTAACACCTCACAACGACGTCGCCGCTAAAAAACCTGACACAAAAACTCATCTCACAGACTCTTCCCTAGGAATCCCATGAACAAAAAACTCACTCCCACCCAACTCGGATCTCCCCGCCAAACCTCTACACGGATTCTGCCGTCCTACAACACACTCCTTCACCCCCTCACAACCCAACCCACAAAGAAGGGCACTCACTACCCAGAATCACCTTCGGAACCCTCTGCACTGAACCGCTTCCCTCACATTCATGACACCACTGGTCGCCCTCAAAGATCAACCCAGAAATCTCAAAACAGAGAAAGAACAAGACGAAGAAGAAGAAGGCAACCCTGGTCTCCAGCAACGAGAAACCGAGCAATAGAAGAACCAGCGAGGCGCAAGGAAACAGAACCTCGAAGCAAGCGGAAGCGAGGTCGGAGACAGCGGTGGATCAATCAATGGAGTGTGTAAACGCGGTGAAGGCCCGCCCAAAGCAAAGCAACGCTGGTGTAGTAATAGTAGAAGTAGGAGTAGCAGTGGCAGAAGCAGAAGCAGCGACGACGATGCTTGAAAAACGGAACCGAAAGCGCCTTTCCCCCCTCCCTCCCTCTAAACCTTCCAAGAAATAGACTCGGCCCCCCTTTCCCCTTCATCGACCTCCTATTACCGCTTCCGTTCCTAATGCCGCGCCACGTCGGCGCCGACGTGGCGACCAGTCAGCCAAATTCGAACGTTTCGTGCGCGCGCTGGAGTCTAAATTTGAGGTTGTTGTTGGATGGTTGGATGTTGAATTTAGATTTTTCCCATTGATTTCCGTGCTTCTTATTTTGGGTGTGAAAGAACTGTGTAAACTACTTTAAAAGGTACTGTTTTTATTATTGCTTTAACATTGGAGCTTCTTATGGGCCAAAACGATAACAGTTTATGAGAACTTCAAGGCAGAGATGAAAGCAATTATAAAAATTGATATATACAAGTGTAAGAAACAATTGAGTTGGAAAAGATAGCAACTTTAGTTTTAGAGGACAAGGAGAGAAGCTACAACTTTTAAATCTTTTTAAGGGTGGAAATTCAAAGGTCTTTTTGTTAAATAAATAAATAAATAATTTATCAAATGATTGAAAAGTTGTGACACCTCACCTTGTCCCCTAAGTAAGAAACCCCTTAGTTGTAACTTTTATCTTGGTTAATAAAGATGGAATTTTATTTTTGAAATAAGGATTTGAATTATTTGTGCATAAGGGGGTCTTTTTATGTAAAAATCCACTTTATATGTTCATGATACAAAAGCCGCACAAAGATCCTCAGCTTCATGGAAAAAAACACTCTACTTTAGAAGCTTTGCTTTTCAAGATAGCACACAATAAGAAGAGCCTATAAAATGGATATATTTTTTTTTTTATTATTATAAACTTATAATAATTATTATAATATATGTAGACATATACATATATAAGCATGTATAGAAATTATTCTAAAAGCAAATAATCAAATTGAAAAAACTGGTACATTTATTTTGTATTTTTTAATATTTTAAGTCTGTAAATACTATACAGTATGAATATGGTTACAAAAATTTGGCTATTTTTGAGATGGTATTGCAGTTTAAAAAAAAAAGATTAAATTATTTAAATTGTTGTAAATATTACTTTGTAATTATTTAATATTTTAAGTCTGTAAATAAATTGTTGTAAATATCAAATTATACAACAACTCGCAAAAAAAAACATTGTTATTTAGAAGTTGTGATGTTTATACACACAGATGTGTGCATAGGTCCAAAGAATTAATGAAACAATGAACTTTGATATTATTACTACAAATCCAATAGATTTAAAATTAAGTCATAAATAATTTATAAAAAATTAATTTAAATTTCTCAATGTTTCTTTTTCTTTTCTTTTCTCTTCCTTTCAAAAAGCATATGCATAAGTACTTAAATATAAGGTCTTTCTAATGTCATTACAATTTTTGCTATTGCTACCACAACCTGCCACCCACTTGACATACTTCTTTAATTTATTTTATTGCAATTAAAAATAAATTAGTAACATTTCTAACATTTTTTATTTTATTTTATTTTTCAAATTACATACAAAAATAATTATTTTTAATAAAAAAATTAATAAGAATAAATTGTGGTGACAAGAGAAAAACTATGATAATGTGTGATAGATGGCAAATTGCGGTGGTTAGAATCACTCTAAATATAATGCAGTGTAGGCAAGAACTGACCAAATTTTACATTGAGTAAAAATATACAAGAATTGATTGTTATCATTGCTTACATTAAACAATCATAGATGATAGTTTATTCAATCCTTTCAATTGAAAATACGTTGAGAGTTACATATTACAGTTTATATATATGTATGTTTAAATTTTAAAAATGATACAGAACTTAGTTGATGTATGCAGAAATTATAAATTGTTGGCTCTTATCTTCATATTAAATCATTAATAACTTTTCTCAATTTACAAGGTTACAAATAGTTGCATGTATTGTAAAATTTGACTCAGCATTAAATCTTTACCTGGTTTTCTGTACAATTCAACTTTTCAAACAATTTTGATATTTTATTCAGTCATCAAATTTTGTTCGGATTGATCTCTATTAAATCATGGATAAATTTCTTATTACATGATTGAGTTAACTAAAATTCAAGACAACAATCATAAATCAGCAAAATTTCCTACAAATATATTTATATGATTCACAGAAGAAAAAAAAGAAAAAAAATTGTTTGTTGTATTGATTTAGTTAACATACATATGTTTGTTTATATGTATGTATGTGTATATATAAACATTATAAATATCAATTAGCGCTCAAACTCTTTTGTTATTTAAAAAGCTAAAAACAATTACATATGTGTGTGGACTGTGATAGATTCCACAACATAAAGCTAACCTATTGACCCTTACGGGATTAAAGAATTTTCTTAACAACATTATCTGAAAGTTCCCAAGGAGTTTCTGGCTTGCTTCACAAAAAGTGAGGCTGAGTACTGGACGGAGTCTTCACCAGAACCTCTATGTTACAGTGATCAACATCAGATTATAGGTTTCAGAGACTTACAATTACTGAGTAGAATCAAAATGAAACGCTTGAGTCTACTACGTTAGGAAAAAACCTGCATCCGCTGTTTCTGCTGATGGACAGGAATGCTTCCGGCTCCTTGCAGTGCAGAAAAAATGATTGTGCCGAGCTTCGCGCCCAGAAAAGGAACTTGTACCTAAAGATCCCACGACCAGTCAAAGATTCCAAACCTATTCCCCTTATCAAAAGCCGACCCTCAATCAACAATGTTTATAACAGCCCAGGACGGCGTTAATGTCGTTCTGTACGTAAACCTGCACCAGGCCTGCAAGCGGAGGCAATACTACCATTCCACTTTTTCCCTTGAGGCTACTGGAGAAAAATGAGTAAACTATCTCTGGGGAGTATCCACCCAGAATTATGAAATTCAGAACAGAGATATCGTTTAACCTCTCCTGCTTTTCCATTTCTTTTCTTTAGAACTTGGGCAGCTGAAATAGAGCTGTGAGTTCGTACCACATCGTTGCCACTAGAGCTGAACATGTCAGGCAGCTTGAAATACGAGTTGGCACAGCTTTTGAGAACGCTACAAGTTCAGGACAGGACAGAACGGACTTTTGCGTGAGAGAGCCACTATGGATGGGTGTTTCCACATGCAGTTCAAGTCGCAGAGCTGTGAAAAGAAAAAATTAGCTGGTTTCTACAACATGTACTGCAAAGGGTGGGCCCGTGTAGCTTAAGGCTTCATGAGTAGGCTGAGAATCAATCACAGCTGAACCCAATAATGTGTATTGGCCGGGGACCAAGAAACAGAGGGCAAACCGATGCACGGCCTCCCCAAGAGCCCCTACCTCCACATCCACTCCATCAAGCGTTCCTACCATCACAATACAACATTGTCGAAAGATTAAGACGATTCCCTGCATACCAACAAAGCCCATTTCCTCAAGGACATCAACTGTCCACATAAACTGACAGATACAAGAGAAATCAAAACTACAACCAGATGAAACTATCTAAAATCCAATTGCATGATTGTCAGTAAGTATTCACCAGCCCAGAGCACTGTCGCTTTAGCACCAGCAGCACTCATGCAACTTGTACCCGTAACATCCCTACAGGTAACACTAAGTGTCATTTTGACGGACTCGTTCGTGTTGTTCCGGACCAACATTTCGATGGGTGTCAATTCTCGAACACCAATTCCGCCCTTGTTATCTGCAGCTAGACCTCCGTCATCTGCTTCCACCTTCTGCAGTCCTATTCTAGGTGACCCGGGAAGATTATCAAGGTCACCACTGTCTCTAGCGCTTCTCAGTGAGGGAGCTGAAATAGAGGTTTTCGCAAGTCGAAAACCGAATGTTAAAGGATCAGGCAATAGGATTTTCAGAACAGATGCCTGCAGAGCTTCTCTAAGAGCATCTTTTATCGGCAATTCTCCAGCACTGTTACGACCGGATGTCCATCTCACACATATTTTAGAACTAAGTTCTTCGATTGCTGCGTTAAGCTCCGCTTTAGCCTGCCGGTCTGTTCCATCCTTGGACTTAAGGATGGACTCTTTCCGTATAGATGCTCGTGCAAGACTAGCTTTGTCCAGGCCAGCTAACTTGAAGTGTTCCAAGGGGATAAGCACTCGAGCAGCGTAATCTCGGTCTATCCTTGTAGGAGGGTATAAACACTCAGCATCTTCCAATCTGCTTCCCTCTCCAGCATCCTTGCTAGTGACGACTATCTCAAACAGCACATCCGTTGCATTCCAAAGCTCCAGCTCAAGAAGCCGCATACCCCAACTACCTCTATAAGGGTCCATTTTTACTAGACTTTCTCCACCCTCCGACAGTTGTTCACAAGCAACAGAGTCGGGAAGTGAGCTGCTGATATTAGCTGCCACTTCCATAGACAAAAACTTCGCTTGGACCAGACAAAGGCCTTTCAAGACATGCAGTTGCAGCGGCAAGGCTACTCGCCTACCAGGAGGTGGTTCTACCCCTTCTGGAACCGACGGCCCTGCGTAGTGAATAACTAACATAGGACTTGCAGCATCTTTCGTGGGCCTGACCAGATTACGAAAATCTATATCAGCCGTAGGTGCACCAGCTTTCAAAGTCACTGGCACAACTACTGTGGCACCCGGGGGCAACGGTAGAGCATCTTCCAGCACACTGTGTCCTATGCACATCACATGCTGCTGGTATTTGCCCGTCAATGTCATATGGGCTTCCACTACTGGGACTACACCAGCATTGGATAAACTAATTTGCATCTCTCTAATTTCACCCTCGTACAAAACAGCGGCTCCCTCTCCACCCACAACTCTTGCCACAAGCAGAGGCAATGGCGGGACCACCTCCACTTTCTCATACTGAGCAGGCTGACGAACCTTGTGGCCACTTCGAAAGGGATCCACTAATGCTGTCCCTTTCACTGAACCCCATTCACTGACTTCCTCAAATAAGTGCTCTGTTATTACTCCGAAGTACTTCACGATACAACCCCTCACCGTGAGCGACCCTACTGCAAGAGGTAATCCAGATAGTGACACAACTTGACCCGAACTCGGAGGGAGTGTGACCGAAACAGGAAAAGCCTCAAATTTTTTGTGCTCCACGGACAGAGCAATGCTATCAACAATAACCTCGAACACACAAGGGTTGGCAAGCTCCACTAAAACTTCCACGGGTTCTCCTACAACCCATGTGACTGGAATTCTAGTATTAGCATCACCCTTTACAGCAAAAGGAGTGTATATGAATGGACCAGTTGAAGTGCGTCCCTTCCACCATTCGTTCGCGTTCACAGTTCGCTTTACGATTTCCCTGTCCGCTGCCATTGCAGTGTAGGAATGTAATCTGACAAACGGAATACCTGGGTCGGGCGATCTCGTCCCAGGGTCCAGGCGCTTGGCAGACGTGGAAAGAGCAGTTGCCAAGGTTGATTGCGAACTTGGTGGAATGAGAGGAAAATGATTCCTGAGTAATCGAGCAGCCGCATTCCAAGCAGCCAATGCATCTCCTGCACGAACTGCAGCAGAGAGCACATCATACAATACGTCCATTTGCAAAGTGCTCCATTCACCCAATTGTCTGTCTTTAGCTTCCGCCTTGTTACTGGGGCATTTGTAAGACTCGGCAGTGAGCGACATCACTTGCAGGGCACTAACGGCAGCCCAATGACTGTGCTGCTGTTGGTACAACAAAGCCACCTGCCGTCCGTAAAAGGCTGCTTTGCGATTGTAGCCGATCGCAGCAAAGATTCGAGCTGCTTCGACATTGACCACCAATCGATCGCTAGCATCCATCAAGCCCTTGGACCATTCTACGGCTCCCATCACTAGCTCAACGACATCTTTAGCAAGCTCCTTCCTGCAGAGAAACCTCGCGAGCTTTAGAGTTGCCTCCAATTCAAAAGACAGAGCCGTTGCCCTGCGGTACAACTGGATCACCTCCGAATATCGAAACTGCACTTCCTGCTCCAACAGGTAATCCTTATCCCCAGCTCGATCCAGAACAATAGAACACACGTAACCTTCAATGGCTCCTGCTTGCCACAGATTATCGCCAGTGAGCCGGGCTAATTCAATAGCAGTGTAGTAATGCGAATTGGCATCTAACGGTGATCCTGCAAGCAAGCAATAATCCCCCATCGTTTTCTGCACCCGACCCAACTTCCTCTTCTTATTGACCTCGTCAGAAGTGAGCGAAACCTGAGAATCCAAAGGAGTGACGAGGCGCACAGGCTTGAGGTGCAGCACCGAGCTTTCGAAAGCCATCAGCAACGACGCGGAGAAATCCTGCATAAGCGTCTGCATGTGAGTTTTCAGCTGCTGCCGATCTGCAGACGGGAACATCACCAGAAACTCTTTCTTCTTCTCTTCGTCCAAGTCCATCTGCGCGGGTGTCGGATGAAACGCAAAGCATCGCATCACCTGCGCGGATGGATACGCCTTGCAGATCGTCAAAAACTGCTCATACGCAGAACTAATCTCTGACGTGAGCGGACAATGACACAATCCGATCACCCCTAAAATCTTCCTGTGCGTCTGGAAATCCTCCCAGGGACTGCTCGTCGCCCCGCCCACCACAAACTTCAACAATAGACTCCCCGTGTCCCATGGCTGCTGCGAAAAAGGACTCTTCTGATGCTCGGTGTAATAGGGACTCACGCTCGACAGCGGGATTTTCGTATGCTGCAACAACATCTCCACATAATCCCGGAAATGCGATGGCGGCATCTCTCCGGTGGCCACTACTGCCAATCGGATAATACTCCCGCCCTCCACCCTCACGTCCGGCTCCATCGTCGTCCCCCTTCCTCCTCCTCCTCCTCCCCGATGACCACCACGAATGCCCGGATCTACTACACCAACCCCACCACACACACACACTGACACACTAAATTGTCTCACAGCCCCCCCATGGTGCCCCCCGCCCTTCCTCCGCCCCTCATGCCAGCCAATCCTCCACCGAAGCAAGCTCCACCTCCACGGCAGCCACGCTGCTGAGCCACAACGCCCTGCGGTAGTAGAAATAGTGGCAGCAGCAGCAGCACTAGAGCTGCCACTGATTGAGAGAGGGGCAGAGAGCGAGAGAGTAAATGGAGCTCAGCAGTGCGGGTCGGGTCTCGCCATCGCCATCGCCATCGCCATGATCGTGCGACAACTGCATCGCAATTCCTTTCGTCGTCGTCGTGAGCAAGTGCCCAGGTCGCAGCGCTTTTAGGGTTTCATCGCATTGAGGGACACGACGTTGATGAATCAACGGAGCATGAATCATGTTAATTAATGACATGACAATGGTATTATTATTATTATTATTATTCTAGTAATATTGTGTAGTAGTAGTAAGAATAATAATGAAACGAGGATGAACAAGACTGGTTTATTTACAAGTATGTGTATAGATGGATAAGAGTTTGTTTGTTGAAATTAATGGAGCATTTGTGGATTAGGGAGTTGTTAGTGAGATTGTAACATAAGAGGTGATATGGTATTCACAAAGTGTGTGTGGAATGAGTAGAAGTTGGTGGTGCATGGGATGATGAAAGTGTTGTTTGATCTAACAAATGTAAATTAATGATGGGTGTGTCGTTGAAGGCAGTTATGGTTGGTTAATTGTGTGTTGCTCTAATTCCATTAGAACATACAAGAAAAATAAATCAAATCAAATTAAGTTACAAAAAATAGTACTAATAACAATAAATCGCATACCTACTGAGAAGTATTTTGAAAGCAATACAGAAAATCATATCTAAAATATTGGGTTTACCTTTGAATAATTTAATATGTATGTATGTATGTATGTATAGTTGATTTATTACATTAATTTTAAATTGTACAGCATAGGTTTGAATTGTTTTATGAAAAAAATCAATTTTTGATATTCATTATATTTTACATAGAATATGTGTACTACAACAAGCTTTACAATTTTTAAAAATACAGTTCTAAAATTAATTTCTTATTAAAAGTCTTCCAATTTTCTTAGACTTACAACTGGTTAAATATTAAGAGTTACTACTTAGATTCAAATCTTTTGAAATAAATAGAATTTCAAAGACCATCTGACCATTATAGGAATTTAACATGTCATTACCTGTAAATTTTTTGGGTTTTTATTACACTTAGTCTAAATCTAACCAAAGATCCAATTTAGCATACCTTCTAACACAAACTTATAGAAGTAATGATCTAAAACTATTTAGTGTATTCTATTTATATATTATCTTAGTTTAAAAAAAAATGTAGCTATTAAGACCTTATTGAATTGTGGATTTGACAAAGTTAAAGATAGAACAAAAATTACAAAGTAACAACTCATTATTGTTAATTAAAAACACAACATGAAAACAAAAATCTTCTAGCTTCTATAACCTTATTGAACTTTATCCACAACAAACTTACTATAAACATCAACTTGTCAAGAAATAAATTGCTTATTCTTATGTGTGTAGATATATATATATATATATATATATATAATTTATTTATTTAAATGGTTCTATTTATAGATCATTATTATTAAAATAGTATTTTAATACATATTTTTTTACTAAATTTAGCTACTTTATGTTAATTTTAATGTTAATTTAGATTTATCCACTCATTGAAAGATTATAAATTGTACAATTCATATACAAAACATCTATATATTTATCAAATTGTTTACAAATCAAGATCAACAATGCATATTTATTACATGTTGTATCAAAATTATTTATTTTTATGAAAGAACTTGTATTTAATTACCTTCTTGATGTTCTTCTATAATCTCTTTTTGTTGCTCCAATTAGACTAATATTAATCCAATGAACTTTCTATAGTTTCATCTACACCTATTAGCTCATAAGACAATAATGACTTTAAAATGGATCAATTGTTTAATAACTTCAAATTGTTCATCTTGCTTTTAGTCCCCCTCTAGCAAATTAAAGTTAGTGCTTGGTGGCCTCATTTACCAATTCGAACTAGTCTTTAATATCTAAGCATATCTTGTATTGGCTAATTTTTTATTTTCAATTCTTTTTTCTGATTACGTTTAATCCTTATAATGTTTACTTATCCATTTAATGTTGAGTTTTAATTAAATAATTCTTATGTTACAGATTTTATCTTATTTTGCTAAATCTTAAATAAAAAATATAATTTAAAAGCATCTTCAATATATTCTTTTTAAAATTATATTCTTTCTTATTTCATTATATTTTTAATTTATTATTTCAAATTCCATTATTTTATAAAGATTAAATTTACAAATTTACAAATTTAAGCATTTTTATTCTTTCAAAGAAAAAAATCTATTAGTAAGTACCTTAAATATATAACATCTCTCCTAATTTATTTATTCTAGTTTTTTTGTACATTAATTTCAACACAAGATGGATCCAATTCCATTGTTGTAAAGAAGATATGCTCATATGGCTTATTTGGGACAAATGCATTACAATTAACACATAGAGAAGTGAAGTTAGTCTTCTCATTGATATTTATAGCATAATGTGTTTCCTCTTTAAGACAAAAACCATTCTCAATAGGTTTTGAGAGTGCTTTTAAGCTTAGAAATTTTTGGATTGGTCCATCTTTCTTTTATATAAATAAACTCCAAAAACTTGGAATTGGAGATGTTAGAATATTTTTTTGTAAAAACAAATTTGGTCATTGCTAAGCGTTTTTTTCTTATAAGCCATTTAGAATCAAAGAAATAAATTTAAATTTAAAAATAAAGAATAAAATAATGTTCTTACTAGAATTCTACTTAAGCAAGGGCTTATAGAATATGATAAACTTAATTGGAAATTCTCAAAAAAGAAAACAAGTAAATACCTAGAATAAAACACTTTCTTTTTCAAAAGATGAGATAAATCTTGAATGTCAAAAGAGATGTTATGTTTTAAATAGCACATGGTAATTAATTGAAATTATAGCATATTACAAGGTGGTATGATAATGCATGCAAGTGCAACAACTTCAAATGTAATGACAATTCCTTCAAGTAATACCCTTCTATGCATCTTCTTAGATATTGGATGATAAGGAATCTTTTATAACTTCTATTTAATCAATACACTAGGCATATTTTGTTTTCGTGTCAAAAAATAAAAATATTACAAGTTTATAAAATAATCTATAGATTGTAATAAGTAGTTTATATTCTATTGATCTATCAAATTATATAATAAGAATTAAGATAAATAAAATTATTTATAAATAGATTATATATTATTTATTTATAATAAAATAAATAGAAGAAGATAAAAATATATTAAATAAAAAAAAATTCTTAAGACATCAAAGAAGATTTTCTTGATATAAAATAGATTTGTAGATTCTTCATAATTCAATATGTAGCTATATAACTTTATCTTAAAATATTTTATTTAAAAAAGATTTGCATAAAAACAACATCTTGCTTAAAAAATTGAATCAAATATCTTATATTCATTATAGAACTTTTGAATAATTATTTTGTAATAATTAAATATAAAAATAATATTGATGCTATCTTTAAATTAGTTAAAATATTTCTTGTCTATGAATCTTAATTCAAGATTTTTATTTTTTATTTTTATATATAGTAGAAATTTTAATATTATTTTTTAATATTTTTTAATTATTTATTTTTTTCTTTTTTACTAATATGAAACATAAGTTTTTTCTAATTTTTTTCTAGGTTGATATCATTGAAAATTTAATAAGACTAGCATATACAAAATTGAAGTTTTATATTTATTAATTATGATACTTTTACTCTTAAAATTATCAAAATGATTTTGTGGTTGTAGATTATTTTCTTTTTAATTAATATTAATTTTTTAAACCTTTTTTTTTTAAAAAAATATTATGATCTAGGAAGTTTTAATTTATTTTAATTATTAAAAAAATAAGTAATGAAGAAATTTATATCACATACTTCTAAAAAAAATGAAGGAATTAGTGCTTGTTGTAAATCAACTTTGTCGACTATGCCAATCAACATTTGATCAACCTAATGTCACAGACATAGACATATAAGCTAGTAATTACCTGTATAAATAGATAGAAGTAAGTAGAAGTAAGTAGAAGTAAGTTAATTCTACAATATCTTCTATAGAAGCTTTCTAAAAGCTTCATAGACGTTGCTTTGATTTTATACATGTCTATAATTGATATTTTGGGTTAAAAAAGTGGTTAGCAAGTTGGCCATGTGCCACACATATTATTAGCATAAAGACCAAGCTAACTATGTGGTCTACACGAAGAAAAACTTGCCTTATAAGTCAAGGCATGTGTCCTACAAAGTCAACACATATTAGAGATCCTATAGAATATCACCACATAGCCCTTAGTTAGATAGTATATATAGAGATAAGAGTAAAGCCCTCTTCACTCTTATTAACTCCTTTCTTGCTTCTAGTCTAGTTTCAAGAGTCTCAAGTTTTCTTGTCTTTTGGCAATAAGCCATTCCAGCTTCTTTTTAATATATGTACTTCTTTACTTCTATTTTATTACTCTTTCTCTAACATGGATTTCATTGGTTTATGCATCATCTTTTAGTTCATGTCCTTGACAAATTGACAAGAGTACACTTACAATATTAGAGCTTTGTCTTATCTTGATTAAGAGTGAATTACCTCCTTCTATGATAAGACATAAATATATTAGAAGTTGCGGATTATCCTCTTTTCAACTGATATTGTTCTTAGTATTTTCTTTATCCTAAAGTCTTTTTTTTTTAGTTCTCTTAAGTGGTATTAGATATTTTTCTGATTGTTATTATGGAAAAACTTATTGAAATGAAGAGTACAATGGCACAAATGCAAGAGTATTTGAAGGAGTTGATGCTTGCAATGCATCAACTTAGCTTACCACCACAAGGATCAATTATAATGGCAGGAAGTGAGGATATATAGATGATTAGAATTGCTTTAACATCTGTACCAAATCTTGTCCTTCTATCCACAATAGAACATCCTTCAAGTATTAGAGATCCAAGAGTTGCTTTGTCCAAGAAGTTTGATGGTACAAGATCCAAATTTCGAGGGTTTATCAATCAAGTACAACTTGTGATTGAACTTCAACCTCAAAGCTATCCAACTCTAAGATCACAAGTTAGATTCATTGGTACACTTCTTTCAGGTTCAACACTATCGTGGTTTTCATCTTTTCTTGAATGATGAGATCTAATATTGGATAATCTGAAGGTATTTTTGGCAAAATTTTG